GAGTACAGTGAGTGTATACAGCTGGATAGCCGGGGGTCACAATGGCCGGCATGTGACCCGCAAGTCAGCCATTTTTACTTAACATAGAAACATAGAATGTGACGGCAGATAAGAACCATTCGGCCCATCTAGTCTCTTCAAGTGGTTCTCAAAGGTATGCATTTTTCTAGCTAAATTAGCCTATTAGCTTTAATTAATTGCCAGGCGGGGATCCCAATTTTAATCCTGCTGTCTATTGGATGGACAGACCAATGGACAGACAGATAGAGTAATAGTTGGCTGAGAAACTACATTCCTCTTTGGGATCTGCCTCACCTCGCATCCCCGCAACTCAGTTACACTAATAGATTGCTTCCGGCCACGTGATGCGCTAGACTTGACCTGCGTCACTGTATTTCAGTTATATTAAAGCTCGTTTTCAAGACATACATATACTATTGGTTACAGCTACATATAAACTTTAATACTTTTTGTTTGTTTAATTGTTAATTATTGTTCATTAATTGGTCATTTGTCATGTGGTCCCATTGTAGGTCATTTTACCACCAATTCTACTTGTTCTTGCCCTATAAATGCCAATTGTGTCCATATCTCTATAATTTACTTGATAAAGCTTGTATAGAAGCGAAATGCATTGTGAATGTTTTATTATGTTTTTATTAGTAATAAAGGGCATTTGACACATACTTTTTGTGGCTTAGTATAAGATTTTATTGCTTTATTATTATTATTATTATTATTATTGTTGCCATTTATATAGCGCCAACAGATTCCGCAGCGTTTTACAATAATATAAGCGGGGTGGGGGATTTAACTATAAATAGGACATTTACAAGAAAACGTACAGGAACGAGAGGTGAAGAGGACCCTGCTCAAACAAGGTTACAGTCAATAGGAGATTTTTATGATCAATTTGTTTTATTAATTCTTGGCACCTTGGTGACGAACTTAAAGGTAATAAATCCTTGGTGGGGATGATACCACCTATGCTTATTATTTATTTTATTTTGTTTAATCAAAAATGTTTAAGAATGGCTTTATTGATCATATTAATTCTTAACTATAACATTTTGGCAGTTTCCAATATTCTTTTTTTTCTTTCAAATTATATATTTCCATATTATTCTGTTGCAGCTTCTGAGAGGTGTAATTCACATTCAAAATCCAAAGGTTTCACATACAAATCATCAACATACAAATAAAAAAACAATTCCCAATAGGAGATAGCAACATTGCTTGTTTGGGATTGTTTTCATTTGTGTGTCGATGCTTTTTGATTGAACTTTGGTCTCCGTGGAAGTCCAACTCCTACTGGGTGAAACACGTAGGACCTATGCTCTTTATTTGTATTTTATATATTTTATTTTACAATAAATCGAAGTCCTCGAGTCCTGCAAATTGTTCCTGATGCGGAGCCTGCAGTCAGGAGCAAAGGTACCATTGGATAGCCCCTCCAAGAATCGCGGGGGAGGTACCCAGAGGCAATATATTAACATCACATCTTGTAAGTGAATCACTAATAGCGCAGTTTTAAAAAATCTTTTTCCTGTATTACACTACGTTGCTATTTTTTTTTGTACATTTACAGCTACATCCTATAGATTGTATACTTTGGCTGTTTAGAAGGGGGACACTATTTGGGATAACCCCTGGCTGTACATTATACATTTTATCAGATACGTTTATTTTAACAATGCCACGCATTTTGGGTGAGTGTGTGGGATATATATATATAGATAGATACTTACCTTAGGCAGATACCCAGACATAGAGATATTTATATATTATGCAATGATTACTGCAGAAGACATAATCGGTCTTTACAAATACTGAGGGGAGTACTGTATTACATTTTGAACCTGAATGGCAAAACACCAATAAATGAGTAAGTGGTGCACCATTTCAATTCCAATATATATATATATACTGCTCAAAAAAATAAAGGGAACACAAAAATAACACATCCTAGATCTGAATGAATTAAATATTCTTCTGAAATACTTTGTTCTTTACATAGTTGAATGTGCTGACAACAAAATCACACAAAAATTAAAAAATGGAAATCAAATTTTTTAACCCATGGAGGTCTGGATTTGGAGTCACACTCAAAATTAAAGTGGAAAAACACACTACAGGCTGATCCAACTTTGATGTAATGTCCTTAAAACAAGTCAAAATGAGGCTCAGAAGTGTGTGTGGCCTCCACGTGCCTGTATGACCTCCCTACAACGCATGTGCATGCTCCTGATGAGGTGGCAGATGGTTCTTCTGAGGGATCTCCTCCCAGACCTGGACTAAAGCATCTGCCAACTCCTGGACAGTCAGTGGTGCAACATGACGTTGGTGGATGGAGCGAGACATGATGTCCCAGATGTGCTCAATTGGATTCAGGTCAGGGGAACGGACGGGCCAGTCCATAGCATCAATGCCTTTGTCTTGCAGGAAGTGCTGACACACTCGAGTCACATAAGGTCTAGCATTGTCTTGCATTAGAAGGAACCCAGGGCCAACCGCACCAGCATATGATCTCACAAGGGGTCTGAGGATCTCATCTCGGTACCTAATGGCAGTCAGGCTACCTCTGGCGAGCACATGAAGGGCTGTGCGGACCCCCAAAGAAATGCCACCCTACACCATTACTGACCCACTGCCAAACTGGTCATGCTGGATGATGTTGCAGGCAGCAGAACGTTCTCAACGGCGTCTCCAGACCCTATCACGTCTGTCACATGTGCTCAGTGTGAACCTGCTTTCATCTGTGAATTTGCCAATCTGTGGCGAATTTGCCAATCTTGGTGTTCTCTGGCAAATGCCAAATGTCCTGCACGATGTTGGGCTGTAAGCACAACCCCCACCTGTGGACGTTGGGCCTTCATACCACCCTCATGGAGTCTGTTTCTGACCGTTTGAGCAGACACATGCACATTTGTGGCCTGCTGGAGGTCATTTTGCAGGGCTCTGGCAGTGCTTCTCCTGTTCCTCCTTGCACAAAGGCAGAGGTAGCGGTCCTGCTTCTGGGTTGTTGCCCTCCTACCACTTCCTCCACATCCCCTGGTAGTGCCCTCCTACGGCCTGTCTCCTGGTCTGGACCCTACGCTGACAGACACAGCAAACCTTCTTGCCACAGCTCGCATTGATGTGCCATCCTGGATGATCTGCGCTACCCGAGCCACTTGTGTGGGTTGTAGACTCCATCTCATGCTACCACTAGAGTGAAAGCACCGCCAGCATTCAAAAGGGACCAAAGCATCAGCCAGGAAGCATAGGAACTGAGAAGTGGTCTGTGGTGACTACCTGCAGAACCACTCCTTTATTGGGGGTGTCTTGCTAATTGCCTATAATTTCCACCTGTTTTCTATCCCATTTGCACAACAGTATGTGAAATTGATTGTCACTCAGGGTTGCTTCCTAAGTGGACAGTTTGATTTCACAGAAGTGTGACTGACTTGGAGTTACATTGTGTTGTTTAAGTGTTCCCATTATTTTTTTGAGCAGTGTATATATATATATATATATATATATATATATACATATATATAAGGGATAATGATGTCAGAAGTGGCAGGGATCTTCTTGCCCCTAAAGCCCCCTGGCCTCTGGCATTTGGCAGGTCTGAGAGTTGGGGGGAGTCTTTTAAATCACTCCATAGTCCCCTCACCCAGTGCTGTGGATGAGGGGTTAAGTTAATTCTGCACGTTTAGTTTAGGAGATAATATCTCCCTAACAGAGCTTACAAAATAAAAACCCATTTCAGACCATGGTTTATTTTCGCATTTAGAACCAGATTCTGCATAGTTTTCTGTGCTGCCTACAATTCCCATTGAGATAATGCTATTCTTGTAACTATCTAACTGGATATCTCGGAGACCTGACTATGTATTACGCTATAGCTGAGTTATTGGAGAATATTTCCACCTCAGCTAATTAGCCCGTATTTTCTAATTAGCCCGTATTTTCAGATTTAAATAGAAAATCAGAGAATTTAGATAATCATGAATGGAATTAATTTTAGACATTAGCACAAAATATTTTTTTCAAATCCAAACCTCCATAAATTGCAATTCAAAACATGTAAAATATCTAATTCGCTGCCCAAACTGTATGCAATATGTGGCACAAACAAAATGGAAATTAAAGGAGAGAATATCAGAACACGTAAATAACATTAAGAAAGGCTACCAACATCCTTCAATTCCAGTTCCAGTACACTGTTGTAAATGTAACAAGTTTAAGTTTGAAGACCTTATATATATGGGAAGCGAAAAAATAGAGCCACATTGTAGGGGAGGGCATGTCGATAAAAAAGAATGAGCACAAAGGGAATTTTAATGGTTCCATAAACTTAATATTATGGAACTCAACGGCTTAGATATGGATTTTGTTTGTTTTTATAATATACAATATATTATTTTTATGACAAACATCCAAATATCATTAGATATTTCTTGCATTATATATAAATAAACAAAAGAATAAAAATTTAAATGCATTGACAATATGTACTGTACATATATTAGTACATTCCAATAAATTAGTAGGACAATACACTTATACATTAGGCACTGAATAATGCACAAATTAGGAATAAAAAACATGAATAAACAAATATGGTAAACGTATTTATTATTAGGAGGTTAATGACATAATGGTATTCTTTTAACTCTCTAACTATATATCTCGGAGACCTGGCTATATATTAGGCTATTGCTGAGCTGGCGAAATTTTTCCACTTCAACGAATTAGCCCAAATTTTCAGATTTAAATAGCTAAAAATCTGAAATGTTAGAATAATCCTGAATGGATTTCAATTTGTAGGGAATTAGACAAAATAAAGATCCAAGCTGGGAAAAGACTGGAGATGGTTGGCGAATTGGTTGATGCAATGCAATGCATTTGTTCATTCGCAATTCTCAGTTCAGGTGATTAAACTCCTATGGCTTTAAACTTGTATAAAAATGTGTGTGTTCAAACTCCGGACTCCTCCCATACTCTACATAGAGCCCGAACCTGAGTGAGTCAGTGTTCAGCTGGCTGCAAGGGAACAGCTCCAAGTCTATTTACTGGAGCCAAATAAAAGTTAAACCTTGTTATGTTAACACTTTAGCTGTTGCCCTGAGATTTATTAGACAAGTGATGTCAAAGAGGCAGAAATAAACACAACCTGATACACACGTGAAAAAACCCACAGCACACCTCTGGACTCTGACAATGAGATCTGCAATTGTCCTTCTCACGCTGCAAGTAAGTTTGAATTCATGTTTGCAAATAGATGCATGATTCTCAAAGTATTTCTAAAACTCAGATGGCATGCACACTATTATCTGCCATTGTAATGTCCCTGGGTTGATTGGCACCCAGGGTAGGGCCCCCCCTGCATGGATTTATAAAAAGCAAAACTTGGGCAGTGGGTCAGAATTCTGATTTATTGGCTTTCCTAATTCCAAATAGTTAATCTGGCATGAAAGGTGTTAATTTTTTTAATGTAGAAGAGTTTTAATATATTGTTGGACGTTGTCTTACATTCTGGCAGTTGTGATGGTACATCTGTGAGAAATCTCCCCCCTTCACGTATTTTTGATAGCTACAAACACAGCTGTGTTGCTCGTAAATGTTTGTGTGTGTTTCCGAAAAGGTCAGTTGTATCAAACGCTTCCGATTGCTGATATGGTTATTTAGTTATTTCTAAAATGCTTTAGTATATTTCTTGTATAAACTGTGTTTTTCAGCTTTGCTCTGTATCCTACTTTTTATATATAGTTTGGTGAGTAGCCGAGTTATGTTGGTAAAAAGTCAAAATATATAATGAAATTATCACATATAACGGAACATTGAAAACAATATACATATATATTAATATTGCACTATTTGTATCAGCTTGGCGATATTAGATTAGGTTATTAAATCATGCAATATTTTTGGATACTTTTATTGAACCATATGATATTTTTGTTATGAAAAATATCTTTTGTGCGGTTACTAAACCAGGTCTTATTTAAAAAAGAAATCACATATCTTTTGCAAAATGCAGTTTATATACCGCTCATTTATCTCGAAACTTCCTCCAAACTCAATATGAGGTATACATGCTTTGTATATATTAACAGACTGTGAAGTATGACATATTGATCAATGTTATACAATAAGTAACATCCCCTGCTATTTTTCTTTTTAGCTGCAAAGTATGTACATCACATTTCAATACAAGTGTTTCTGTTTTGCATTGTTTTGGAAAAGTATTCCTGTTTGAGTTCTGCTCGACTTGTACTTCTCAATGGTAGCTATAGGTAGTTTGCACAATAAACATACACTGATATTCGTCTGTGAGAAGCAAAAACTCTGCATTTAATGGCTCGCGTTGGCCGATATTGATGAACTATTTTTCCTTTTTACTAAAAGCCTGGTAGAGTCATGTGGAATCTGGCTCACTTATATCTTAGATGACAAAGTGAGCCATCACTTTTCTAGAGAATTGGACCTAATGTCTGAGACAGGTAGTGAGAGCAGTACGTCCCACTACATGATGGTGGAAGCAGTACGTTGGTAAAAGTTCTAATACTCTAGCTCCTATGATTTTTTTTTTTTTTAAGATTACGCAGTATATCTGAAATTAATATTTTATCTATCTAACCAGGATATGTCCTTTAGCTTTGCACTTTAAAATACAATGTGTGACATATGCGTAAAAAGAACATTTAATTTTAACTGAGAAAACACATCAGTATTTTGATAATGAGTTAACACTAATACAAACGCAGTTCATGTGCCTTTTCCCCCCACACTAATATAAAAAGTACATTAAAAAATGAACAGTTAGTCATTACATTTATTGGACATGTATGCTACGTTATTGAATTACGTTTTTTATGACAGACCACTTATAAGACTTTTTTCCCAGATCAAGATAGTTCTCACGTATGAAAAATCTGTTCAAAAATGGTTTACATGTTTTAATTGACAATTAACTTTGTACTAAACTGTTTATTTTAACTTTTACTTCTTTAAAACATTGTAGATGCCGCAGTGGTGCAAATGTAGCATGAGTCCTTTATAGGTCCATGCGGTTTTACACCAACAGCTGAATCACAGTCTATTATTGGGGGTAGTTAGTTAGGTATTGAAATCACATGGACTCAGAGGAGAGCTGGCAAGGGGGGCAAATGGGTAATTGCCCCCAGACCAGTATTATAGAGTGGATTGTGGGCTGCTATCTTATGGCCCAATACTAAACTATATTATGAACCCAATTCTTTAATTGTGATTGTGTGTATAGTTCTAGCAGCATTAGTATAAAATGTTTAATAAACAATTAATAGAGGAAGGGGAGTTTGCTGGTTTGGTCTCAACTGGAACTGTTTTCTTTCACTTGGACACACCTTCCTCAGGGTGAAATTGTATGCATTGTTAAAGGCTTGTTTCATGAATTATAACTGGATTATTTTTTAAACCACTAATTCTGCTTAAGAAAAAAATGTCAAAAAAGAGTTTAGTTGCTTTTTCAATATTTTACAACACTTATGGTTACATTTAGGTGCAAGTGGCAATAACTTTGTCTATGTGAGTTGCTGTGTCCCCCCCCCAGTGTGAGCTGCTGTGTTCCCTCCAGTGTGAGCTGCTGTGTTCCCTCCAGTGTGAGCTGCTGTGTTCCCCCCCAGTCTGAGCTGCTGTGTTCTCCCCCAGTGTGAGCTGCTGTGTTCTCCCCCAGTGTGAGCTGCTGTGTTCTCCCCCAGTGTGAGCTGCTATGTTCCCTCCAGTGTGAGCTGCTGTGTTCCGTCTAGTGTGAGCTGCTGTGTTCCCTCCAGTGTGAGCTGCTGTGATCCTCCCAGTGTGAGCTGCTGTGATCCCCCCGGTGTGAGCTGCTATGTTCTCCCCGGTGTGAGCTGCTGTGTTCCCTCCAGTGTGAGCTGCTGTGTTCCGTATAGTGTGAGCTGCTGTGTTCCCCCAGCTGTGAGCTGCTGTGTCCCCCAGTGTAAGCTGCTGTGTTCCCAGTGTGAGCTGCTGTGTTCCCCTGCAGTGTGAGCTGCTGTGTTCCCCCCAGTGTGAGCTGCTGTGTTCCCCTCCAGTGTGAGCTGCTGTGTTCCCTCCAGTGTGAGCTGCTGTGTTCCTCCAGTGTGAGTGTGAGCTGCTGTGTTCCCCCAGTGTGAGCTGCTGTGTTCCCTCCAGTGTGAGCTGCTGTGTTCCCCCCAGTGTGAGCTGCTGTGTTCCCTCCAGTGTGAGCTGCTGTGTTCCCCCAGTGTGAGCTGCTGTGTTCCCCCCAGTGTGAGCTGCTGTAGTGTGAGCTGCTGTGTTCCCCCCAGTGTGAGCTGCTGTGTTCCCCCCAGTGTGAGTTGCTAGTGTGTGCTCCCCCAGTGTGAGCTGCTGTGTTCCCCCCCAGTGTGAGCTGCTGTGTTCCCCCCAGTGTGAGCTGCTGTGTTCCCCCCAGTTTGAGCTTCTGTGTTCCCTCCAGTGTGAGCTGCTGTGTTCCCCCCCCAGTGTGAGCTGCTGTATTCTCTCCAGCATGTGTTGCTGTGTTTCCTGAGTATTCTACAGACAGCAGTCAATCTGTATAACTGTTTCGATTACTGACAGCAGCATGGTAACACTGTTTAGAGGAGGGTATTGACCTTCACTCGTGGACAGAGAGTCTGAAGCCTGGGGGGGTATAAAAAACCTCAAAAGTTGTTAAACTAAACTGTTAAATCTTTGCAAAGTAGAATGTAGTAATATACAATGCACCGTATAAAAGTAAATTTTTCATGATAGCTTCCCTTTATGGACCAGTTCCATTCCTTGCTGTCATCACAGCTTGGTCCCTAAAGGCCTTACACCGGCATGGAATTTCCTGCTTATTTTGTGCTGGCAGCTCTATAACACTGTGCTGACATTAAATGAGTGGGACATTCCGTATGGAATGGGATTATTAAAGACCAGATTGTTACAATAGATGAGCCTGTCGTTGGACCTTACGGCGTTAACATTATTAATGACATATTTATTCAAATATCTCTCCTGTGTCACCGTACTGACAAAACTAAGCCAACCCGTCTTACAAAGTGGGAATATATAGCCCGTCTATTATGCCGGCAGGCAAAGCGTTAAACCTCACTACAAGCTCAATATGTTCAAAATGTTTATTTTTTTTCCAGCGATCTGTTGATTTTACTACATGAAAACTTAGTTCTATCACCGTTGAGGGGAGTATAATTAAGGCTCTTGTAATTCTGATAATGTATTTCTGATTCGTTCTGGGTAGGTTTATTTATAGAGTTCACACACAATAACAAATAAAGTCTGTTTACTCAAATTAGAATGCACATAAACACATTCTGCTGGAGAAACCTTTGAAGAATGACACAGTACAAATAAATAACCTGATATCAAATATTGCTTTTAAAATTGAAAAACATGGTTCATGTTTAAAGTCTTTTTTCCTTTTTTTTTTTTAACGAGTCAGGAGATGTACCATTTTCATTTCAAATAAAAAAAGACATAAATGTATTTATATAAATGATGTTATCTAATGTATACAGGCACACAAATCCTGTATACAATGTAGAGAAACAGAAGGGTGGTGTAGCGCCAAATATGTCCTTACAAATACGTATAACCACGAAAGTCGGAGCTGCAGTTAAGTTCACAAAAAGTGTGTGGGAATTATTTTGATCATCTTTCTCCAATTGTATTTCACATACTACGCTATTAGTTTTTCTCTATTATCCCACATTTTTAAAGGACATATTTGGCGCTACACCACCCTTCTGTTTTCTCCTTTTTCTCTTCTGGACAAGAGATTTCCCGCATTTGGTAATTGAGCTGCCTTTTGAACTGTACCAGAAAACTACAAGCGCTGAATTCCCCCTCTGTTTTTACCTGTATACAATGTGTTTATAATCAGTTGTGCTGTGTTATACATCACAATCACAACAGCTATTTAATTAACAAAAAGTATTAACTCAGAATACAAAAATATCGCTAGATAAGAAATTATCTAGTGGTAAGATCTTCAAAAGTGACTGAATGAAAAATCCTAAAAACATACCTGCTAAGTGTCCCTGTTTAGGAGGGACAGTCCTTATCTTGAGCCCAAATCTCTCTTTTCATCCTAACGTTCTGCTTTCTAAAAGTTGACATTACAGCTAGCAGTAATGTATTTAAAATACAATATATTTGTTTACATTTTTTCTGTCTAAAAGAGATGCTCTGGTCTAGTTCTAAATTATATTTTAAGCCTAAATGTTTAGCAGTGTGTTATGACATCAAAATGACAAGTAACAGCTCAACCCCTTGCCACACCTCCAGGCACACCATCACAAATCTGCCTGATTAAAAAAAATATATATATATGAAAATCACTGTTAATGTACCTTGCTGCAACCTGATTACAGAGAAGTCATCAGTCCCGATCCATTTTGTCCAATCAGAAAGCAATCAGAAGCATTTTGGACAGTTAAATATTAACAGAGGAGCCTTAAATGAATTCATTTTTATTGACTATTTTGTATACGCTCAATAAAATGTCCTAATTAAAATTTAGCTTACCTGTCTGATGTCACCCCAGGGTTTAACCGGGTCACCAGATTTGGAAGATTGAGGTTGTGGTGATCACGTTTTCATCAGAGACAGAGTATGGAAACACTGAATAGGATTCCCCAACCTCTTATTATTAAAGCGATACCATCGTGCTAGAAATACAGTCTGCATTCCATACATTATACTTCTCTCTGGCCCCACCTGAATCATGCCCCCCATGGGACTGTAAGGGTTAAAAACCCTAACTGTACTTACTTCTCCGACGTCACCCGATGGGGGTGGGGGCTAATACGCATGGGCGGCGAGTGCTTTAGGCCCTCCACATAGGAAAGCATTGCTACCACGCTTTCCTATGGGGTTTCTCTGACACTGGATGTCCTCAGGCAGAGCGTGAAGACGTCCAGTGTCAGTTAGGTGACCTAAAGTCGCCTAGCAAGCAGGAAGTGCCTCTAGCGGCTGTCTTATTGACAGCCACAAGAGCCGTCATAGTCCTGTAATGACAGGGACACTGCACTTAGACCACAAATGAGCTAAAGTGGTCTGTGTGCCTATAGTGTCCCTTTTAGGTACCACTTCACCCTCTACACCAAAAGGCCATGATAGGGCCAGAACTGCCAGACTGTATAGATTGTTTGCTGTAGTCCAGATCTAGGAAGTAAAGTTGTTCTAGGAGCAGAGCACTCATATCACCATAATCCATGATCGATTCTATAATCAGTTTTGATTGCTTTGCGGAATTTTGGTACACATAATATACCATAAAGCAGCCTCTGCCCTTGGATTGTTAAAATGTCCTTTTTTATATTTTAATACTTCATGGGTAATCAGTGATAAATGTATCCACTTTTTGTATACCTGTACATTTGCAATTTATTTAAAAAGAGCGAGATTGGAAGTTGTCAAATCAAGACCAATAACGGTTATTCATGAAGCACAAATTGTTTGCAATCTGCCTAAATGCTGGCTGAGCATCTTGGGAAATGCAATTCACAAAATATGGAGTGCCAAGGTTAACCATTATTGGTCCAGGTACATGCATTTCAGCCACTCTCATTCCTAAACTAATGCTGGTACCAAGACTCACGATGTAAAGGTAATATTTGCAGCAATGGTTGGAATGATTTCTCCTGATGTCCTATAGGTGGAGATATTTGTCATGACTCATGAATAGAACTTTCAGAAGATAATAATCTCTGTTACAAGTGGGAATTTATCCCAGCAGTAAAAGCCTAGCCGATAGATGATTTGCGGCGATAAAAACAAGGTTTCCCACTGAGTGAGTTTATAGAGCCTTCGTCTGCACAAAACATTCTGTTTTACAAATTACAACATGCGGATCCTTAAACTAACTCCTTTCTAGCTGGAGATGATTTTTGAAAATCATCATAAGAAATCATTGCAAAACAGCAACTCAGAGAATAATGCAATCCTGTAGAATAAAATCATTCTGTTTTTGCAGGCTCATGCTAAACTGTAAATTTATAACAGGTATTTTTAAAGGTTTCTGGTGCAGACGGCTTAGGAGTGTTTTTTTTTCCTTTCAGTTTGCTATGATGCTATTTGCATTTTGGCAACAGATTAATTTGAAGTCAACAAATAGTGTCCCCTCGCGGGTTTAGTATTACACAATGAGGTGATAAGTGACGTTACGTACATCTGCCCAAAATAGCTAAACAAAACTATTTTTCAGCGCTGTCTTACGGTTTAATTTCCTACATCTTTGTAACCCAGTGACTAAACTCCAAAAAAAGACTTTAATTCTTCATTTTAGTTCCTATTGGAGACAGTTTGTCTTAAGCGTTATTGTACAAGGTGGCCCAAAATTTAAAGCAGGGTTTGAGGAATCAATAACATTTTTTATTAATGAAATTATTTCAATGATATTAAATACAATCAATTCTTAACATATGGAAATTTATTTGACTATGAACAGAAGATTGAATCTTTTAATTGAACTCCAGAGCTCCTTGTAGTTGGGCTCTTGATTGCGATGTTCATAACATTAGTTAATGTTTGAGGCTCTAGCTCTCAAATTTCTGCACAGATATTCTCTGTGTTGTGCACGCGGTTTGTTCACGATTTTCTATTACAGGATGTAACATTTTTCAGTCATATCCCGATATATCACACTATAACTGTCAAAACACCACCAAGATTCCACTATTTCTTCATGTTTTTCCTTTGTGAAATTAACCATGATTGATCTCCCAAGTCTCAGTTATAATATGTACCTACATCAGAAAAATGTAACTACTAACCAATAAGTTATTTACCTTCTCTGAATTTTGACCTATCCTGTATTTGTCTTTTAGTGTCCCACACTTTTGTTTTTGCCTCCATTTTTCATGAGCTGAACTCAAAGACCTAAGACTTTTTCTATGTACAAAAAAGGCCTATTTCTCTCAAATATTGTTCACAAATCTGTCTAAATCTGTTAGTGAGCACTTCTCCTTTGCCGAGATAATCCATCCACCTCACAGGTGTGGCATATCAAGATGCTGATAGGACAGCATGATTATTGCACAGATGTGCCTTAGGCTGGCCACAATAAAAGGCCACTCTAAAATGTCTAGTACGATTCATTGTTTCCCTATCAACATTAGAAAAGTATTGGGTTCTCCTGGTCTGTCCTCACAAATGGATCTTTTTAGATGAAATCCAGAAAAAGTACATCTAAAAGATTTGGTATTACAGAAGGCCAGACATTATTATTATTATTATGATATTTATAGAGTGCCGTCAAATTCCGCAGCGCTTTACAATAGGTGGACGAACAGACATGTAGTTGTAACCAGACAAGTTGGACACACAGGAACAGAGGGGTTGAGGGCCTTGCTCAATGAGCTTACATGCTACAGGGAGTGGGGTAAAATGACACAAAAAGGTAAGGATAGTTTTCGACTAGTGACAGTTGCAGAAGAGGAATCAGTCAGGAGCTATTGACAGTTTAATTGATACGCTTTTATGAAGAAGTGGGTTTTTAACAATTTTTTGAAGGAGTGGAGACTGGGTGAGCATCTAATGGAGGAGAGAAGCGAGTTCCACAGGAACGGTGCAGCCCTCGAGAAATCTTGAAGGCGAGCATCAGAGGTGGGAGTACGGACAGAAGATAGACGTAAGTCTTCAGCAGATCGTAAGGGCCTAGACGGACATACTTGTGTATAAGGAAGGATAGATAGGTGGGAGCAGCATTATTTAGAGATTTGAAAGCAAGAACCGGAATTTTAAATTGAGCTCTATATCTTATAGGAAGCCAATGCAGGGACTGACAGAAGGGTGGGGCATGGGAGGTGCGGGCGGACAGGAAGATTGAGCCTCGCTGCCGCATTCATTATGGACTGTAACGGCGCAAGTTGGGAGCACGTAAGACCACTGAGAAGCAGATTACAGTAGTCAAGGCGAGAAAGGACAGTGGAATGGACCAACACCTTAGTCGCATCTGGCGTTAAGTAGGGGCGGATGCGCGCAATGTTTTTGAGATGGAAATGACAGGATTTGGCGATAGATTGAACATGAGGCTTGAAGGAGAGGTCGGAGTCAATAAGAACACCTAGCGAGCATGTGTGGTGGAGGTGATGGTAGCACCGTTGACTTGGAGGGAGACAGACACAGGAGTAACAACACTTGAGGGAAGAAAGACCAGAATTTCAGTTTTGGTCAAGTTTAGTTTAAGGAAGTGGGCAGCCATCCAGTTAGACACAGCAGTTCCCACTAGTCAAGAGGGACGGGGAGAGATCAGGAGAGGACAGGTAGATTTGCGTGTTATCTGCATAGAAATTATATTGGAAGCCAAAGGAACTAATGAGTTTACCAAGGGAGGCAGTATAGATGGAGAACAGTAGGGGACCAAGGACTGAACCTTGGGTGACACCAACAGACATTCAAGTTAACGAGCCAAGCGTCCAAATCAATGGATTTAATCCCTGTATTCAACTTGTTGGACCATTACTTGACGAATCTACAACCGGATCATCTATTCTTGCTATTCTATGCGTGTATTTTGGTGTGTATATATGTACAGTAGGTATGGGTAATAGACATATGCACTTCGTTTTGTTTTGAATTTAAGTGAATTTGGCAATTCAGAAGCAAAAGAAATTCTAAATTTCTTACAAACTGAAATGAACAAATTAGACAAAATAATTCTGAACGATCTGAAGTTACTTTTTTTGAAACCATTAATTCTCATTACGATAGCAAATTAAGGAGTTATCTATTAAGCAACTAAAAACACAAAATTAAGAAAAGTACTTTTTTCCCAACTGTTTAGCATATTTTTCCTAATTTGGTATCCTTATGTGGTATTACCATAATAAAGGCTACAAAATGAGGGACTCAACTATGCAAAATAAACAACAAATCTAAGAAAACATTTTTTTTCTTAATTGTTCAGTTGTTTATTATTATTATTATTATTATTATTATTACCATTTATATTGCGCCAACAGATTCTGTAGCGCTTCACAATATTATGAGAGGGGGGATTTAACTATAAATACGACAATTACAAGAAAACTTACAGGAATGATAGGTTGAAGAGGACTCTGCTCAAAAGAGAGTACAGTCTATAGAAGGTGGGGTATAAAACACATTAGGGGACACACATTTAGTAGATAGCTCCCTAATTTGGTATCCTTATGTAGAATTGCCCTTAATTATGTAAATCCCACGTAAGGATGTCAATTAGGGAGCTATGTACTGATTAGCTGAAATGTCAAAATGAAAAATAAAGCTCTTTCAGACAGCTGTTTAGTAGATAGCTCCCTAATGTTGTACCTTTATGTGGGATTACTATTTTTAAGATTGCCAAATTATGGGTTTATCTGCTAAACATCACCATAATTTGATAACCTTTGGAATAATTGGGAATAATGGCTTCCACATTTTGTTCCCGAATTTTTGTAATTATCATTTAATTTTAAAGTGATAGTTTCTGAATTTCGGGCGCCCCGAAAGTGAAAAACTTATGAACTGACACAAATTTTTTTTCCCGTGCATATCTCTAGTATATATTAAAACACAGAGCTTATTCACTCCACATCTGGCTGAATTTAAATATATAGATTTATTTGTGGAATTAACATGTAGTGAAATCGACAAAATTAACCATGAAGATCTCATGGTTCAGCCTAGCAGCAATATCTCCCCACAAGAAAAAAACTCCCTTAAACGTCTTAAAGCGCTAGATGAGGTGATATTTAAACCATCTGATAAAGGGGGTAACACAGTCATCCTCAATAAATTGGATAATGTTTCGATGGTACATAAATTAATTGAGGATAGTGACACATATGAGGTACTCAGTGGGGACCCCACCAAGAAATACCTAGCGGAACTAAAAAATATCCTTGACACAGCTTTGTCCCTCTGCCTGATCTCTAAGGAGGAATATAATTTTATATTTGTTAAAAATCCTGTAACTGCCACATTCTATGCTCTTCCAAACGTACACAAACAACAACCAGTAGTAAGTGGCAGACCTATTGTCTCTGGCAGAGGTAACTTAACTCAAAATGCTAGTCTATATGTAGACCAGATCTTGAGGAAGCTTGTGTTTGAACTTCCCTCATATCAAAAGGACAGTAAGCATACTTTGAATATCTTAGAATAAATTAAAATTACTGGTGATGCCATCTTATGCAGTCTCGACGTTGAGAGTCTATATAGCTCCATACCACATAAAGTGGGCTTGCAGCATCTTAGAGCATCTTTGGACATGCACCCAGTAGTCTCAATAAGACACAATCAATTTGTCCAGGATCTAATGAAGTTAATTTTGACACACAACCATTTCATTTTTCAGGGCAAATACTACCACCAGGTGAGAGGGACAGCTATGGGGACGGCTTGTGCCCCCTCATATGCTAACCTCCTTCTGGGTTGGTGGGAAAGAACCATGGTGTTTCATGCCAATATGAAGAAGTATACAAGACACATCAAGTTATGGAAAAGATATCTTGATGATGTCTTGATTATATGGACAGACACTTCTGATCTCTTTCTTGAATTTGTCAAAATTCTCAATATTAATGACATTAATTTGAGACTGATTTGCGAAATTGGGAGAAAGACAATTAACTTTCTGGACATCACTATCACTTTGACAGATGAGGGGGACCTTGGATCTACATTGTTTCGCAAACCAACAGCGACTAATAATTTGCTGAATTGGACAAGCTACCACACCTTCGATGCAATTGCTCTACTCTAGAAGATTTCAAAATAAAGGCCAAGACTTCACAATATAAGTTCAAACAAAAGGGGTACCCCAACAGATGTATCAAAAATGCATATAAACGCGCATTACTTGCAGACCGTAAAGATCTTCTAGCTGAAGACCTTAATTTAAAATCACCACAAGAAATCATTAGGTGCATAGAGAATTTTGATGCTGGCTGGCACCAAATTATGATGATTTTGGAAAGATTCTTTCCCCTATTGCACCAGTATCCACATTTACACAGCGTGATTACATCTCATGCATTCGTGACAGCAAGAAGGGGGCGCAATATTAAGGATATCCTGGTCCCCAGTCATCTCAATAATACCCCTCATAAACCAACATGGCTGAAATCTCAGGTCATAGGTACATATCAGTGTGGCAGGTGTAAAGCCTGTAAATTTATACGTCGTCCATCCAAAACTTTTCCAGATTCAACATACACCCAGGAATTCAATGTTAAAAACTTTTTTAATTGCCAATCCAAAGGCCTCGTATATTTACTTACATGTTCCTGCAACAAACTATATGTGGGCAAAACATCCCGCAACTTTAAGTTGAGAATAAGGGAACATATCAACTCAGTGAACCCCAAAAGACTGATAGACACCCCAGTCTCTAAACATTTAAAATTACATCATAGTGGTTCATCGGATGGGATTAGATTTTGTGGCATTGAGAAGGTTACGCTGGGACCAAGGGGGGCGTGATTTAGACAAAAAACTCTTACAAAGAGATAGTTTTTGGATATATAAGCTTAAAACTCTCTCACCACTTGGTCTCAACGAAGGTTTCTCATATACGTCCTTTATTTTGGACTAATGGATATTAGTTTTGCATTACGGGGTCGTAATGAAAGTCTATTATTTACACCATGTGTATATATATATATATTTATATATGATTGCACTCTAGATATGTAGATTTATATATATGCCGAATACACTTGTAAATTATAGAAGATAGTAATTATAGTTATTATTTTTGATTTATTACTTATTATTTATTATTGATTATTAATTTCTTATTTTACTTATTTTTACATGAATACCTAAATTTGAGGTTCATTGTTGCATCCAGACAGGTACACATGAACTATATACCATTCATATGCATTATTGTAGATCTGTGGCAGAGCTATAAAATGGGGGGATGGGTCTGCGCCAATATGCACAATAAATAATAATATTAAGTCCAATAGGATCTATATTGTCGTTTCCAAAGTTCTACTTTTTGCGATATCCAGAAGGTGTCAGTGACGTGAAGAGTAATCCAAATATTGGATTGACAGAGCTTAATCCAGCTCTGGTGTGAATGGCTTACAGCTGTATTATCACCGCTTGCAGGATATACGGCAAGTGTCCTCTTCTATGTAGTCGCAGGTAACCAAGTTGGAAATAAAAATGGAAACAATAATGGTGCAGTATGTTCCACATGTGTAATAAAAAATATAAAATACAATAGATACACTCACATTCGGTAGAGCTTCGGCTAGCTCTAGTTTGTTAGGCGTACAGCGGTATCATCCCCGCTTGTAGGATATAGGATGAGTAAATTGACGAGAATATCAGGAGCTCGGAGAGAAGATAAAACAGCGATAGTGCTCTCAATAAAATCTTGGTAATAAAATAAAATAATAAAATATACTCACAATGTATAGGGCAGGCTAACTGCTCTATGTGACAGCGTAGGTGGTATAATCCCCACCTAGGATTCTTTGGAGTATAATATGCAGGAAATAAAAGTATATAGTATAAAATGTATATAAAATGTATATAAAAAGCCAGGTAATAATAAAAGATGATGGTTTAAACGTAAAAAATGACCAAAATCTTTTTATTAACAGTATATAAAAACAGTAAAAATATCCAAACGCGTTTCGCCAGTATAAGGCTTTATCAATGGATAACAAAAAAAACAAAAAAACAGTGTATCTATTGTATTTTATATTTTTTATTACACGTATGGAACATACTGCACCATTATTGTTTCCATTTTTATTTCCAACTTGGTTACCTGCCACTACATAGAAGAGGACACTTGCCGTATATCCTGCAAGCAGGGATAATACCGCTGTAAGCCATTCACACCAGAGCTGGATTAAGCTCTGTCAACTGTAAGTAAGAACTCTTCTATTTTCACATATTTGGATTACTCTTCACGTCACTGACACCTTTTGGATATCGCAAAAAGTAGAACTTTGGAAACAACAATATAGATCCTATTGGACTTAATATTATTATTTATTGTGCACATTGGCACAGACCCATCCCCCCATTTTCCTGCTTTTGCCTGTTGATTTCCAGGGACATTAGAGGGAGTCCCTGTTCGGGACTGCTGCCTTCCTGATTAGAGCTGACTCTACTCCTTGTTTTGTTATCCTGTGGCAGAGCTTCCCCTAGTCTTTTCTACCCCTTTGTGGAGACACCACAAGAGGTAGATAGACCACCAATATGAGACCTATATAGATAAGTCACTTCTATAATAATCTCCCATTACATTCATTGGAATTGGATACTGGATGGCTAATGAGTACACTTAGTTACTTAGTTTGTGATATTTTTCCCTTAGGGTGTACTTGCAGCTAGGTATGGGAAGCATGGGGCACCATTATATTACATTTTATATGGTTTGGCTGCCTGTAGATGATGAGATTTAAAATCCATTGGATTACCAGTTCGGTCTCAACATGTCTATCTTGCCCATCGTCTCTAACTATCACTCCAACTATAATTGGCTCCGCCCTCCTTTAGTCTACTCGCACGGAGCATTCAGAGATACCCACCCACCTCATAATAGAGGATACAGGTTGGGTTTGACTCTGCGTCCTTTGGCCACTCCCCCTATTTACACCATGTGGTCTGGGACCTCGCACACCGATCGGATCTAGTTACTGATATCATGCACACATGTGGGACACTCCTCCTGGATTCCATTGGACACAGGTACTCATGGTTTATGGCGTTTAAACGATTTAAGAGAGACCTTATCATTACTCTGTTGTCCCCTGACGAAGGTGCATTATACAAGGCACCGAAACGCGCGTCGGGCGTTTTTTCTTATTTTTAGCTATGAGCACTGGGCACTTGTGGATTGAGCACTATGATTTTTATTTGATTTATTGATTTTTTTTTAATTTTCACTTATCTATCCTTTGCTTCTATGCCTGTCTAGTTAGCTTACCAGGGAGAGGGGCTTTTAATTCACCTTGTCAGTGTTTTAGTCACTGACTTTCTCACTATATACTGCATTCTCTCCCTATACTATACTATGGACAATACTCTTTTCTCAAAGCTCTGTCTGCAATTTATCTCTCTATAAGCTGATTCAAGATTGAGGGTTGGGGACTGTGCCTAGATCAATATTACACTCTATTATTGACAAGAGATGTTTTTTATTACAAGCACAGTACCTTTATCCATAAGATATGGCAGAGTAGTATTAAGAGCTAACCTGGAGATAGCCCAGCGTTAGGGAATTGTTTTGGGATTGATCCCTTCCTATGTAGCCTATACACCTGTTAATAAAGCTGAAATTTAGGATTGGGTATCATACCTTTATACGGATTTGGATTGTTTCCCCACCTGGTGTCTATTTCTGGCTTGCATATTAGCATATGTATCACTTGTATATACTTTGGTTTATTTTATTTTGTTTAGGTCTCAATAATACAAGATTATAAATTTTTTTATGCCAATATACAGTAATAACTATGCAACTATATACATATATCCAGGGGATGCAGCTGATCTCGGAGATTTGTATGCACTGAGACTAGTAGCATCTACTTTCTGTTTGTTTTTTGTACTTTACATACATTGGGGTTAAGCCCCTTGAGACCCCTGGAGTCTCTCTGCGGTACTTAAGATATTGGGTCAGACCTGTCACTATCCCATTTTTTTTGGGTTGTGTGTATGGGAATATACCCATATTCTTATTTTCAGTTTTCTATATTAAAACACAGACTACTTATCATGTTGTCAGAGAAATTAATAATTCACCACAATCAATATCTATTCTAGAGCCGGAATGTTGTTGATTGTGTATTGGGTTCCTTGTTGCCATCTCATAAATGTAATTGATCTATCGGTCTGTCATACACTACTCCATACAGAGTCTACTGGTGTCCTCACGGCCTACAAATTCCATGCAATCAGACTATTTCTGTTCTACGAAGAGCATGCGAAAGGCGATGCCTTCGTTTAGCTTGAAACTGCTTTGAACTGGACCCCCCTCACCTTTTGTTCCTCTATGTTTAAATTTGATCTCTCACTAAATGCCTGTATGTTTAATCCGGTTACATCATCAGAACCCGCATGCTGTGTTGTGCCTTTTTATTGTGTGCATTGTGGGATACGCTGGCACTCTATAAATAACATTGCAATAATAATTCTGCTTTCGCAACCTTTACCAAATATTTTTTTCTAAAGCTTTGGATTAACACTTTAAGTCCCAGGGAGCATGCATTGTCTATCGTCTATTACTAGAGAGAAACGACGCTGCTCCTTTAAAGCTGTCTCAACATCCTGAATTTCATCCTGTTGTGCAAGACATAGGAAACACATAGGGGTTTAATGTTATTTTATATTTTATTTGCAGATGTTTTTAAAAAAGAAAAATTTGATAGAGTTAGGCCACCCAGGGAACTTAACTTTGCTGTCAAGAGGGTTCGGATGGTGACGTCCCTTCAAGACTGCATTTAGAGCTTGACTTTCATGTGATTATGTGAGTCCATTTTACAGAAAAAGAATGGATTTGGTGAGCACACCCGGACATGCTTTTCTCAGTAGTGGTACTGCTGTAAGGACCGAAATCTATACAAAATACAGATAAAGGAACAGCACACACACAAAAAATGCAGTTTTAAATTTTACAATGCTGATTAAAATCACTTATCTTAACAAACAAATATGGGTATTCAGTTACACCGTATGGTCATATCGTGTTAAGCTCACCACTACATCACAGTACCTCAATATAGGTGGGTCCTGAACTAATTTTAACATGAGAGATTAATATGCTGACTGCAATACTTACTGCGACTCGTCAATTCATGTTTCCTGGTCAATGCCAAAGGGGCACCCATAGTGGGTGGGAAGGGTGCTCAGCCAAAAGGAATCTGGTCTGCATCCCAAATATACTCTGAAAAAATGGGGATCCGGGGCACACCTGGAACATGCATTTCTAAGTAGTGGTGCTGCCGTAAGGACCAAAATCTATACAAAATGGAGTTAAAGGAACATTAACCCCTACACTACCCTAACATTAACCATTTCACTACCATGACAGTAACCATAAACTCCTACACTACCCTAACATTAACCCCATACACTACCTTAACATTAACCATTTCACTACCATGACAGTAACCATAAACTCCTACACTACCCTAACATTAACCCCATACACTACCTTAATATTAACCATTTCACTACCATGACAGTAACCATTAACTCCTACACTACCTTAACATTAACCATTTCACTACCATGACAGTAACCATTAACTCCTACACTACCCTAACATTAACCCCTACACTATCGTAACACATTAACTCCTACACTATCCTAACATTAACCACTTCACTACCCTCACATTAAACCCTACAATACCCAAACACTAACTGCTACACTACCCTAACTCTCCCCATAAACCCCTACTCTACCCAAACCTTAACTTCTACACTACCCAAACATTAACACTAACCCCTACACTACCCTAACATTAATCCCTACACTGTCCAAATACTAACTGCTACACTGCCCTAATTCTCACCATTAACCCCTACTCTCCCAAACCTTAACTTCTACACTACCCTCACATTGGCTCTACTCTACCCTAACATTAACAGTAACCCTTACACTACCCTAACATTAATGCTAACCCCTACACTACCCTAACATTAACACTAACCCCTACACTGCTCTAACATTGGCTACTAACTCCTACACTGCTCTAACATTGGCTACTAACCCCTACACTACCCTAACATTAACCATTAACTACCCTACACTTACACTAACCATCGCCAGCTACACTACCCTAATACTGTTAATATTTACACTGCCTTAAGACTAACCCAATAACCTAATTTAAAAATATCACATAATATAAAAGATACATAGCAGCAAGTATATAATCATTTATAAATCCCTCAACCTTTCATCTTGTATCTGATATAAACAATGTAACATGTTTTTTGTTTTTTTTTAAGAATCAGGTCTATGAAGATTATACAAAGGAATGTGTAAAGCTTCTTAACGTATATATAGTAATGAAAATTACTGAGCGGGAGGTAGGTGGCCTTCCCTCTGCCTGTATCCTTAGCTGTAAATACCATGAACTCTCCATGAATTTCCTGCACCCTGCTCTGGGAATTGAAATCGGTATTAACTACAACACCAAGTCGTTTATATAATTCTACTCTCTGTGAGCCCGACATCAAGATTGCTCAGACATCTCAGCAGACACTGTAGAATAGTAGGGTAATGGAAACAATTTATGCAAAATAATTTATTTTACATACATGACAGCTGGCTTCCTTTCTATCCTGACATGTCCTGCTTTCCACACGTATGGAATAATATATAATGTACATTTTAATTACCTCTCTAAGGTAATGCGGTTTTGCAGATTCCCGCACATTAATATTACTAGGGTAAACAGTCGTCTCAAAAAAAAACAAGCCTGCTAAAACGTATATAACATAACATATTTGATTAATAATTTTACTACTAAATTGATTTATGTAAAAATTACACATTTAAACTATCAATAAATTTGGGCTTAAAAATAAATAAATAAATAAATTAAATAAGACAATAAAATATGTTTATTTTTATCTTATTTTGCTTTTCTCTCTTATTTTGTCAATGATAATAATGTGTGTGCATAATAATAGTTTTGTAATCATAGCTTAACGTTACAGAATGTTAATTAAAACTACAGCAAGAACTATATGGAATTGTGTGAAAAACACTTTTGTTTATAAAAATAAAATGTTATTTGGAAAATAATGAAATGATGCATGAATTAAACCATTAGGAAACATGTGTAATAATGTGTTGTTTAATTCTGATTATCATGGGGATTAATTAAAATGTCACCAGATTCCCCCATATTTGGTTCTTTACAGCCGCAAAGCCAATGTCCTAAACTTATCACTAAAAAGCATGTGAGTGCTTTGTTTTGTAATGTCTTCAAATTAATGAAATTAACAAAAACAGAATTTAATAAAGACAAAACGCACGTATTGATTCTTATGGGGTTATTTATTTAAGGAAAAATTCAAAATAAACGTCAAATGAAAGGCCAGAGTAGCTAAACTGAGAATTCCAATTCAGCTAATTTGGTTTTAAATTTGAAATTTACTTTGAATTCTCACCTTAGTGAATAACCATGTCTGTGTCCGTGCTCCTAGTTATCAAAAAACATGGAAAGAATTTAATAAAAATTGGGTTTCACTCTCATATTCTGTTTAGGTGAAAGTGAATCAACATAAGTGAGTATTATTAATATCCATTACAGTCTTTATGGCCCACACAGAATGAGCAAACCATCTGGCTGTGTACAGAGCCGTTCAGACTACAATGTGTTCCCCCCAGTGTGAGCTGCTGTGTTCCCTCCAGTGTGAGCTGCTGTGTTCCCCCAGTGTGAGCTGTTGTGTTCCCCCCAGTGTGAGCTGCTGTGTTCCCCTCAGTGTGAGCTGCTGTGTTCCCCCCAGTGTGAGCTGCTGTGTTCCCCCCAGTGTGAGCTGCTGTGTTCCCCCCAGTGTGAGCTGCTGTGTCCCCCCCAGTGTGAGCTGCTGTGTTTCCCTCCAGTGTGAGCTGCTGTGTTTCCCTCCAGTGTGAGCTGCTATGTTCCCAATGTGAGCTGCTGTGTCCCCCCCAGTGTGAGCTGCTGTGTTTCCCTCCAGTGTGAGCTGCTGTGTTTCCCTCCAGTGTGAGCTGCTATGTTCCCAATGTGAGCTGCTGTGTTCCCCCCAGTGTGAGCTGCTGTCACATATACCCTATGATTAAATATATGTGGTGAAGATAAAACAGACAAAAAACTCTTTATTAATATTATTATTATTATTATTTAAATTTGAGTGGATTTTGCTGATTCCATGACATATCTCAGTAACTAATCAGTACACGTCTGACGAAGTCAGAAAAGATCATGATTAATGTGTTTATTACTGGCTAATCGGACTCTGCCTCCACCATCATTAAGGGTATGTCAGGCGTGTGAGGATGCTAATCTTTCATTATTCTATAAAGTGTGTTTCCATTTAGAAGCAGAATATTCAATTGCAGCTCCTATTTCTAAGATTCATTCAAGTTTTCTCTGATTTTTGCAATGAAGGCAAACAATGTATATTAGGGGGGTTTGAAATATGACGTATCCCTTATATTTAACAATATATATTTGTGAGATTACAAAAAATAATAAATGTCTAAATTTGCATCTCTTTATCTTGCAACCATTTGCCTCCAATCCCCTGTCAGCCATTGTTATAAACTGTGCCCTCTCCACCTAGCAGCCGGCATACAGAAAGCATTCAGAGAATTTTTTTAAAAAAAAGTAGTTTATCTTACTCATTTGCATTGTGTGCCCTGGCTGTGCCAGCACTGAGCTGGATTGTGATGTCATTTGCTGATGTTAAATATTTGATATAAATCTATAGGTGATCTTAAACTATGTAATTTCCAGTTCATCTTTATCCATATTTTGTAGCACATTACACATTAGTGAATCTGCAGGGATATAGTATTCTAAAGGAGCTGGTATATGTCTTAGTAGCTTTTACCCCCACTGACTATGTGCATGCATTATTCATGCCTGTGTTCATTGTGGGTATATCTTAAAAGAGCTTACAAAAGCTGCACTCTTTTCATGGGGAAATAGCCCCATTGAGAAGCCTCTGACGCTCTTCCTCTGCACATGCACATGCTTGTTCGTGCGTGTACCATTGCCTGGGGAATGCGCACTTACAGCATTCCAATCCGTGAAAGAGAATGAGGTCTGAGAAGGAATCATGCAGGTGGGAGACAGTCACTCTCAAGTAGAGCATGCCTGTCACTTCTGTTAGCTCGTGGGAGTTAATGGAAGCAGGGAGAATCATCTCTGTCTGTTTGATTGACAGCTAGGGGGTGTTTAATTAATTTTTAAAAGTGCTGATTTCTCATAGAACTTAGCACTTTTATAAACTACCATTATAAAGGAACACTCCTCACCCATGAAGAAATTCAGCAAGCTGAAGCGCTTATGGGTGGGGAGCCTTCCTTTATATAATCCCCAGTTCAATGATGCCCAAAAGATATACAGTTGTGTCAAATCGTCTAAGGAGAAAAGGCAGAGCCAAATGATTCTATAAACCATTGCTTGCAGCCTCGTATTGCTCAGCAGTACTACACAATGCATGCTGACCATGACCGGTAATGAGGAAGTAAAACGTCTTCATGAAACGTCTGAAGCTGATGAACTAAGATTAGGATGCAGGTCAATCCGATGTCTGCATTAGGATGCAGCTGATCCGTCAATCTGCTGTCTGACAATCACAACAATATATGTTACGATAACATGTCCTGGTTTTGGCTCTTAGAATATCCCTTTAAACCTTTAAAAGTATGGTCTGGGACAAAAATAGCTTGAGGACAAACCAGTGTAAGTCATATCACTCACATCTCACCAGGGAGTTTACATATCTTAAATTAAAGATTTTTTGTTTTTCTTTATACCATGACAGATAACATTTTTTGTTGGATATATTTATAATATTTTTTTTATGTTTTGGATCAACATCAGCATTAACTGATGTAAACTAATGTATTAACTCTCTCCTATCCATCTGAATGTATGGCTCTAGAGGAATCATTTTAGTTGTTTTTGTTTTTGTTAACAAAGACTGTTTTCAATTATGTATTTTTTTTGTTTAAATCGGTGTCTTCGTGATGGCTATATATAGTGACCCACTCCACTTAAGATCCTGAAATTGGAGTTAGAACACTGAGACTCTGAGTCAAACCTTGAGGTTTTCGAGTAATGAATAGCAGTAACTTCAAGTTATTTTATCAGTAACTCATCAGAAACACTGAAATTGCTGATTATGGTACTGTTGGTTATGTAGCATTGCCAACTTGTCCTTCTATAACTTTGTTGGTATCTGCAACAAATCACCAGAATCCTTATTTTTGGTCTGGAACATTGCATGTTCATTTCTTTTTCATGTTAGAACGCACAGAGAACGTATTATTTAATAACATAACAACTAAATACCTGTGGATCCTTGTTTAACAGAAAGTGGTGGGGAGGGGGGTGGGGGAAAACAAATGAGTTACAATATAACAAAGTTTAAACACCAGGATACAATATTTAGTTTAAATTCCTTACTCTGTTTATTATTGAAGACTCTTTGTTGAGGGAGAAGGTATTAAAGAAATTACACTTTTCAAAAATAATATTAATTTTAATAATAAAAATAATAATAACAATAATAATGTCTGTATTGTAGAGATTTAGGGTTAGAATTTATGAGATAGGATATACTTATCTCAAGTAATTAAATAGCACTTTGTGTATAGACTTAAATTGGAGAACTGTCTCTAAATTAATCTAGTTTATCATAAGATATATTGATTTTATAGTATTATTGCCTAACTCATTCATGTCTTTTGATTGTTCTTCCAATCTGGCATTTCTTTGGTACCTTATAGTCTCCTGTGAGAACCTTATCGTATCTCACTATGCCCCGGGGTCACCCACAGATTTCGCCCCTTGACATTAGTAATGTGGGTTCATTTTCTGACTATCCATTCAGTTCAGGACTTGTCATTTATCATAAATGCATGTGTTATATTTGTGAATGTTGTGACACGAGTGAATCACTGCCTTTCAAACACACGCAGAAACACTTTACCAGCTAAACTGAATTATTGATTTCCCCAGGCGTGAAAAGAGTTGCCGTAAACATAGGAACAAACATGGAATGAGGAAACACACTTTGTATCAGTTGGCTCTAGGCAACAGACAAAAATACAGTGGTTAACCATTTCCATACAGGAGAAATACGCTGGAATGTGCCACAGTACTAGGATTACACAGTATCATTTTTATAAATGTATTTATTTCACAAACATGATCTATTGTACTTTAGAGTACATACCTCTTTAAATTGTGAGATTTGAAAAAGGAAAAAGAGGGTCGCAGGGCTGAAGAAGAGGTGTCTCTGATGCAGTAAACAACTCTGATTGTAAGTTGGGAGTTGGGAGTTGGGAGTTGTTAATTGCCAAAATGTAGTGAGTGCCAACTTGTGGGTAGCACAAATGCAACCCACAGCCCTGCTTACAAACCCACTTGATGATGACTACGTGCAGAGAAACATTGTAAAGCTCTAATCCACAGAAATAGAGGTACTTTTGTGATGTGCATTTTGGCTCATTTTCTATTCTTTTAATCTATCCTGTGTGGTCGGACACGGGAACACAATTGGGACTCAACCTTTGAAACTGGGACAGCTGGGGCTATGGTACAACTGGAACCATCCTTTTACTATGGCCTCCATTTAATATTTTTAGCTACGCTTTTCAGATGATTTAATATTTTTTTTTAAATATTTTTTTAGATATCCTATATATATTATATATTTTTTATATATATATTTTGATATTTGGAGAAACTTTTTGAAAAGCCTATCCAAAAATATTAAAGTGAAGCCTACATTTTAGAACCTGTTGGATTATTGGTTAAGCTGGGTATTAATGTGAATTGACATTTTTTTAGACATTGTAGAATTTGAAAATATTTCTAACTCCATTAATTTATCAGCACTACTATTTTTGTGTAAAATTAGCAATTCTATTTCTGTTTTCCTAAATTCACTGTTTAGTTAATTCTCTCACTGCTGTCGCTTACGCTGGAAAAGAGCATAAAGAGATGCTCGCAATAAACCTGTGCATGGCAGAAAAATGTGTTTGGGTTGAACCGCTTCATCCAAAAATAAAAATAAAAATTGAAAAGACCGATTTTTGACTGCCCTTCCTTTTTCTCCTCTATTGGTTACTTCTCACCTGTTCTGTGACTCATGTAGACATCAATCATCTCTTTTTTTTTTGGACCACAGGTGGAACTTTTAGAATTATGAATCATAACAAACATGCTCGCCCATTGTATGATTAGTCAATATGGCAGTTTGGAAATCAGGAATTCAGCCGATCACTTGATCGGCCAAATTTGTACAAATTGTAGTTTGTTATGAGTCCAGTTCCCAGTCCAATAAATGGACAAAAAATGGAGGGAGGGGCGTGGCTTGGCGGTCCGAGAAAATGGCAGCATAATCCTCGAGCTCCCCGCAGGCTCAGCTCATAACCTCGGCTAAACTGCACCCTGACCGCGGTGATGGGGAAAACCCACCGAGCCTCACATGCCCAACGACCGGGGGATGCCCCAAAGGGAACCCCGACCCCGACAATGAAGCGCTACCTGCTCACAGACATGGATCCGCAGGCCTCAAATGACTCCATGGAGTCGGCCATTTTCTCCCCACACTCCCCTACGAGAGAACAGACCCCCACTGCAGGGGATACCGCAGTACCAGACCTGGTGGCCCTACTGAAGGACTTACCCACCAAGGCAGACCTCAGGACGGCCAACGCAGAACTGCGCACATCGATCACGACGGAACTCCACGCGCTGAGGGAAGACTTCCAAGGCCTCAACCAGCGAGTCGCTCAGATCGAGGCGGACTGTGACCACATGGCAGCAGCACAGGCTGCCAATACCGACACGCTGCAGCACCACACTACAGTGATGAGACAGATGGCCCTGCATATAGAGGATCTCGACAACAGGGGGAGATGCCAGAATATCCGGGTGAGAGGGGTCCCAGAGGAATTAGACAGTAAAGCCCCGGTACAGAGCACCTTGCTGGAGCTGTTTAACAGGCTCCTAGCTAGGCCGTCCCAGACGCACATGGGCTTCGTTAGAGCCCACAGGGCCCTGAGGCCACAAGGACCCCCGGGCGGGCCCCCAAGAGATCATCTGCTGCATGGAGAGTTTCCAGCTCAAGGAGGAGATCCTGCGTAAGGCACGTGCCACAGAAAAGGTACTGCTAGACGGATCAGAAATCCAGCTATACCCAGACCTGTCCCCAGCTACATTGGCCTACCGGCGGGCCCTGAAGCCCCTTACCAGGCAGTTGCAGACCGCAAATATCAGGTACCGCTGGTGCTTCCCCACGGGCCTTCAAATTGCAACACCCTCTGGCCCCTTCATGGTCACGGGAGCAGAAGATCTGGAGACGATCCAACGTGAGCTGCACCTGTCGCCGGAGAAGCTTCTTTGGCCGAACCCGCTACGTTTCTACACAGAAGGCCCCAGGCCTCCAGGCACAGGCCCCAAACCCCGCAGGCTGCGGGCCCCCCGCACACAGACTACAAGACAGGCGGGGACACCAAATTAGATAAGCCGCCTGCCCTGCCGCCCCCCGGGACTATGACCTCGTGAACCATGCCATGAACGGGATGACTTGTTTTTTCTTGACGCCTTGAAACCTTACTGCACCAACCAAGAGACATACAGCTGGGCTCTCACCTCCGGGCCCTATGTTCGTGAGGAAGCGGAGGGGCCGTAGACTTCCACCCTTGAACCTGATGACAACGCCCATGCCGCAAGTATTACCCCGGGAGGTGGGGGGGCATGGGAGTACCGTGCTTCCCCACTGCCCGAGAACTTTGAGCCGAGCAGGGAGGGGGAGGAACCGGGGGACCCTACGCCGGATAGAGTGACACTCCCTGCATGGGTCGGGTACAGGGAGAAGGGGATGGACGCTCTTGAGCCCTGGACCTTTATGTATATGAATATGACCTAGGAGTAGTAGGCCCCGAGGTATACACCCAGCCAACCCCCGTAGACACACCAAGATACGTGGCCCCCAGGCAGGTTATGCTGAGATGCGCTGGGAGGGCTCTAGGCTACCACCACCTAGCCATTCACGGGGGTCAGAGGAGCCCATCGCACTGGATCAAGCTTTTCTAACTTCCCTCGAACCTTTGCATGGAGGGCTGGGCGAGGGCTTTAAGACAGGCCATTGTAGGGTCACCCTGACACACATCCGCATGACTAGGGCGATTATCGCCCAAATGGGAGGGAATAGACCCAGACTGGGGCATTTTCATGTCACCTGGGGGCGGCGGGCAGGCAACTCAATATGGACTAACAACATCACGTCACACCTGTGGGCCAGACGACCCACCGGCAGCGGTCATGACACAGACCATGCACACATTAGCCTATAGAGGTTTTCCATAAGCTACATTCCCAACTTGGAGAGCCATGAGATGGGGAGACGGGATGTCCCGACTGGACGGAGCTCCGGGGCTCTTAGTGGAACGTGACGATCTTTCTGGGAGCGTCCCGGGCCCGCGGGGCTCTGCCTACTTGGGGTTTCTTGGGCTCCTTTGCTACCCTATTGGCCGGAGCGTTCAGACTTGGGTGCGCAGTGCACTCCCCCTACCTGAGGGAGGGGGGGACTCACTGCTCCCCCAACGCTCGAATCCATAACCCGCCGTATACGGCGACACTAATCCGTACCCGGTCCCTAGACCTAGAGGGTGCGATCCTCCCCTTCTTTCCCTCAGACCTACCCAGTTTTCCCCCGAGTTTCCCCACCCCATACTTTCTATACCTGACTACAGGACGGACTTTTTATACCTGACTAACGGACGGACGAACCTACGTCACCTCTGAGTGATAGACTCAAATCCAGCATGTCCCTGCAACCGGCCCCCCTCACAATATTCACGCTGAACGCTAGGGGACTCAACACGCCAGAAAAAAGGGCCGGGGCTCATAAGGATTTCAGGGCGGCTCACGCCTCCATAGTGTTTCTACAAGAGACCCACTTCCGGGCAGGCTCACGACCCACACTGACTAACCAACACTATCCAAAAGGATACTACAGCGACTTTCAGGGGGGTAAGTCACGGGGCACGGCGATTCTCCTACATAGACACCTCCCCTTCACAGAAACAGGGGTCCTGACAGACCCAGAGGGCCGCTTCCTATTCCTCAAGGGGACGATCGCGAACACAACATATACCTTTGCCAATCTCTACGCCCCTAACCGCGGGCAATATAAATTCCTGGCCAAGACGCTCCGCACACTTGTAGGCTTTCAAGAAGGCATCTTGATAATAGGCGGAGACCTGAATGTAACATTGGACCCCAAATGGGACTCCTCCTCAGGTCACTCACACATTTCATTGCAATACCTTATGGCCATTAAAGCTCTCCTGACTAGAGCGAAATTAGTGGACTGTTGGAGAGCATTTCACCCTGACGAAAGGGACTTCACCTTCTACTCCCACCCCCATAACTCCTACACCCGCATAGACTATCTCCTAGTTCCCAGTCACCACATACCGTTGGTCCTACAGGCAGACCAGGGCACCGTGACATGGTCAGATCACGCACCGGTGACCATTAAACTACACTCCCCCCTCCATAGACCCAAGATCTCCAAGTGGAGGTTAAATGAATCACTGCTCACTAACCCAACGGTCACATCTGACATTGGGAAGACACTGCGGGATTACTTCACAAACAACACCTGCGAACAAACCCCCCCCACCATACGCTGGGAGGCACACAAGTGTGTCATAAGGGGGCATTTTATTCAAAAAAGCTCACTCCTGAAGAAACAGAGAGAGGCCCGCATGGCCGCTCTGCTATCAGAAATAGAACAAGCAGACACACTTAACAAACAACACCAACTCCCCACACACCAGGCCAAACTCCTCCGCCTTAGGAGGGAACTGACCACTCTCCTCCACTCAACTTATCAAAGGGACGCATTACGAAACAGGGCCTTCTTTGCAATACACGGAAACAAAAGCGGAAAACTTCTAGCGCGCATGCTGGCCAAAAGGAGACAAGACACGTATATAGATAGAATCCGTGACAAGGCAGGGGTCCTACACAGACACCCGGCCAAGATCCAAGAGATTATTCGCACATACTATGCGGAACTCTACTCCCTCCCACGCCCACACACAGACGCACAGTCACGCTCCCTACGGGCCTCAATAGACGACTACCTACAGACCCATAGGCTTCCCTCCCTGGAGGCGGACACGGCAGATCAACTAGACGAACCAATATCCATGGGGGAACTAGCACTCGCCATCAAATCCATGAAACCGGGTAGGTGTCCAGGCCCCGATGGCCTGCCTCTCAAATATTATAAAAGCTATGCCGAGACCCTGTATCCCCCACTACTGGCCATGTTCAACGCCATCAGAGAGGGACATGAATTACCCACACAGGCACTCATGACCCATATCACCATAATTCCGAAAGAGGGCAAGGACAGGGAGCACTGCGGGAGCTTCCGGCCCATATCCCTCATAAACAATGACATTAAACTACTGGCCAAGGTCTTGGCGACCCGGCTTCAGGAGCACATGCCCTCTCTGGTCCATGCGGACCAGGTGGGGTTTGTGATGGGCCGGGAAGCCAGAGATGACACCATCAGGGCCCTCACGATTATGCACAGAAAATCAGGGGACGACACAGGCCTTCTCCTGCTATCCACGGATGCGGAGAAGGCCTTTGACAGGGTCTGTTGGGAGTATATGTTCCAGGCATTGTCACACATGGGATGGGTTAGGGCCCTATACACATGGGATGGGTTAGGGCATTGTCACACTGTGTGGATGGGTTAGGGCCCTATACACTCACCCGACGGCGCATGTGCTGGTCAACGGGGCACCCACAGAGGCGTTCCCGATATACAACGGCACGCGACAGGGGTGTCCATTGTCCCCACTACTGTTCGTTCTGGCTTTAGAACCCCTACTAACCGCAATCCGTCACCACCCAGACATTAAGGGGGTACACATAGGAGACACACACCATAAGCTAGCCGCCTATGCGGATGACCTACTATTCTTCATAACCCACCCGGAAGTCTCCCTTCCCAACTTAGTGCAGGAGTTTCAGGCCTTTGGAGGGCTTTCGGGGTACAAGATTAACTTCTCAAAGTCCTATATCTTAAATTTAAGCATCCCCGCAAGGAGATCCGCACAGCTCCAACGGAGCTTCGCGTTCCAATGGGCCACAGACAAAATCCGATACCTCGGCACTTGGCTGACCGTTAAGGAATCGGAGTTATTCACAGCGAACTTCGCTCCGATACTAGCTAAGTTCCGTACAGACATGAGGGACTGGGCCCTCCCGCACATCTCCTGGCTGGGTAGAATCCAAGTAATAAAAATGAACTTTCTACCGAGACTGCTCTACCTCTTCCAGGCCCTGCCCATCACGATCCCATCCTCTTTTTTCGCCAAGCTCCGGCAGGCTCTAGGGGCTTTTGTTTGGGACGGGAGGAGACCCAGACTGAAATACACACTGCTAACTCAACCCAAACACAAAGGGGGTCTGGCTCTACCGGACTTCCGACTATACTACAAGGCATGCCACCTGCAACGTGTTGCGGAGTGGTCCAAGACAGGGGTCAACAAACTATGGAAACAGGCAGAGGAGGGGATAGCTAAGCTCCCAGCCGCCCTTATCCCGTGGCTCCCCGCGGGGACGGACGGAAGGGAAACGCATTACTCCCCGTATACGAAAGTAACTCTGAGGATATGGCGAGGCAATGCCGGTAGACACGCGCTTTCCGCACACCCGTCCCCATTGCTTCCCCTCACACATAATCCTGACTTCCCGCCGGGCACGGACCCTAGGGCACTGCAGGCCCTGGTGCAGGACCCAATGCCAAGGCTGCACCATGTGTGCTCCGGTCGGGGGCTGAGGACCTTGGCTGACTTATGCGGGGGTCACACACAACCATTAACAACCGACTTCCACTACGCACAGCTGATGAGCTACATAAAGACCCTGCCCCGCGCAGGAGCCATTACTAGGGAACTCACCGCCTATGAACAGATATGCGCGGACCCTGACCCATTGCCACATGGCATCTCGCACCTCTACGCCCTCCTACAAACACTCACACCCATGGCCGCACCACGCTTCATGGGGAAATGGGAAGAGGCCCTCAATCACACACTTAGTGGGGCTGACTGGGAAAAGATCTGTGAGGTCACCCACCATTGCTCCATTTTTAGCAAGAGTCAGGAGACAGCATATAAAATACTCACGCAATGGTACTGTACCCCAGACACGACTCAATACACGCACGCTCACGGGTCAAGCCTATGCTGGCGGTGCGCAAAGACAACAGGTACACCCCTACACACTTGGTGGGCATGTGAACTCGTACAACCATTTTGGAGGAAAATTCATAAAATAGCTTCCCGCTTCACCGATAACACACCACCATTAGACCCGGCAGCAATGCTGCTCCACCACACGACTATACCAATTTCTAAATACAAAAAGTCCCTTACAATTCGAATTCTAAACATGGCCAAGCAGACTATACCACAATACTGGAAGAAAACAGAGACTCCTTCCATACTTAAATGGTTTACGCACATGGAAGAGCTACGAGCGGTAGAAGAGCTCGCCATGTCAGCTACTGAAAAACAACATCAGACATACTTAGACATCTGGACCCACTGGATATTGACCACGACGACGCAAGACTTCCTGACACTGCTCCATACCTAATGACAGGGAGTTACACCGGCTGGACAGACACATGGACGACGGACAGACCCTCTTCCTCCTTCCCTATGCTTACCTTACCCCCCACTTACCCTCCCATATACTAAAATGGGGGATACCACCCAACTGTCAAAAGTCCAACAGACAGGGGCAACATACCCCCCAGTATGTATATCCCCCTCTGACATGGGACCTCTGCCCACTATATCACCACAGTCCGTCAATGACTAAGGTCCTCATTAGATGTGACCTCTTGAGAACATGTCATGACTGGACCACAATAGTCCCTCTCTCACATAAGGATAATACAACTATGTACACCTGAACACTAGAGGGGCAATAGCGGGGAGGGCAGCAGACAGCATAGAAGTAGGCAAAGAGCCCAGTCCAAGGGGCTGACAAATTAGACGAAGATGGATGATCTGCCCCAAACAACAGGGGAACGTGGGATTAATGAGAATTCTCTGGGGGGGGGGGGGACTCTGTCTAATTAAGCTTTACCGTTGACTTAAGGGACCTGTGAGTCCGACTTTGTTATTGGGCCTGCGTGCCCGCCTTGTTGCATGTTTTCCTTTCTGTTCTTTTTACTAATACGCTGAATACAACCTACAGACCTGCGTGTCTGCACAATAATTACCTATTATTCCCAATTACAGGAAATAAAAATTATATTTACAAAAAAAAAAAATGGAGGGAGCTATTTTAAAATGGGTATCAATATTGTTTAGAGGGAAGCCATGGTGAACTGCACCAAAAACATTTTGATGTCTCGTGGATATTGTATTTTATACATTTAAGAAATGGCTTTTTTTCAGAACTCCCAAAACTGCTGGTAGGAATGAGTTTATTTGAAAACAATAAGATATTTTTCAAACAATATTCAGACCAAAATGATTCATGTTCTTTCAGCATCCACAAACAAAGTCATTCTGGCTAATCCTGCATCTACAGAATGCTTTGTGAACTTGCTCACCAGGCGGAACGTAGCCGTGTCTTGAAAAGGGTATCAGTTTCCATGGGGAGATAAAAGGATGCTGCACAATAGTAAGGAAATGGCTAACTAACATCAGTCACGATTAAAGTCTGAGAACACATTAAATTATGTTGGCACATAGCATTATTCTGCAGAATACCGAGCAACCACATGCAAAACAAGACGAGTAATTCAGCAGTGGGGGGGGGGGAGGGGGGGACATGATAAGGTACATATCTTATGTCCACCCCTCTCCATTATATTTAATTTTCCCTGTATCTGTGATCTGGCCTTCGCCTTCTCAAACTTTTAGTTTGTGATAGAAATATATTTGCTTAACATTGGGAACAAAACTGTACTAAACAGTAATAATTAAAACTAGCAACTGGGCATCTACTGCTGCCTACTCACTAACAAAGTCCTGATTATTATTATTATTTTATTATTTATATAGCACCAGCAAATTCCGTAGAGCTGTACAATGGGTATCCAATCCATGTGGAGGGAGCCTGTAAAACACCAGGTGGCACCTGTGTCAGCATGTGGCCTTCAAATTAAATAAAAGGGTACAGGTCAAAAGCATGTAAGACAACCAATCAAAGATGAAATATTTTTTATTTGTCTCTCATTTCTCAGTAGATATGTGCCCATCCATGGCATAGCAAATAGGGACATGTCTACTAAATATATGGGTTAATTTCTCAGTAGATATGTGCCCATCCATGGCATGGCAAATAGGGACATGTCTACTAAATAGCAGACATGCCCCATAGGCTTTTTTAATATGGTGTCTGGCTAACGAGCTGGCCAGGCGTCACATGATTAACCCTTGTGCCACTAAGTTTTTTTTGTAACCATTTGCCTGCTGGCTGCTACTGCTTCTGCTTCCAATAGATACATTGTGAAGCTGGATTCCCGAAGCAGCTGACACTTCTTGGCCATTAGTCATTTTGGTTGCTTCAGAAGTAGGCCAATGGGCCATTCAGAGATTGTTGTTTTCGGCCACATAGTCCATCGGTTTCAATTTGTCTACTCAAAATTTCTCGAAGATGTCAGAGCTGGTTCATGTATCATTTCATATTTCTCATTAAAACATCTTTTTACAAGAGAGGAAGTTATATTCAGTTATTTATCTACCTCATTTCAAAAATGTTGTCCTTCTATTCGGGTCCAAGAAGTGCTCTAAAAGCATGGACACTCTGTCTGAGAGAATGCTGATCTCTCTACATGTTTTGATATGATTCTTTGCTGCCCATGTGTGTATCCGACATGATCAAGGATAACTGAAATGCTTTATCCTTGCGAATCTCTGAGAAATGTTTTGATGTTTGTAGAAAAGAAAAACAATCTCCACTCTTATTAAAGTCCCGTAATCTTTAATCTTTAATACAGTTCAGTGAGATTCACTTCCCTGCTGATTTATTACATTCTCGTCCACCTTATACTGATTATTTTTATGGAAACTAATTTATAACGTATCTTTTTCCATGATATCGCCAAAACTTGTTAAAAAAAGAAAATAATAATAATAATGTTTTTCATATGTAGAGAAATAAGAACTACAATAGTTTTAAAGAGGAGAAACGGCTAAATTTATAAAAGAGTATAAACAGCTAAAAATTAATTTGGGAAGATAAATAAAACTTGGACTATAAACAGAAATTAAATGTGAGCAATCAAAAATATGTGTGATACTGTTGCCCTACTAACGAAGTATAGCAGATACTACGTTTTGTTTACATTTAGCAACAGGCAAGCAATTTTTATATAGCAAATTGTAAATTTCAGAACTGTGTATATAATTATTCACTAGAACTATTTCTCCTATTTTAACTAAAATATTTTGACTATTATTTTTTTAGTTATTCCTGCAGAGTACATGCCCCTACAGGTGTCTAACAGAAGAACAAAACAAGTTAATATAAAATATTGTTTTTGAAATTATACTATTAGTTATTAATAATTTAAATATACGACATATCAGAAAGAGCAATGTATCTATCACTTTAGCAAAACTTGGACTGCATCGATTGGGATATTAGTTTTATGCTATAAATACTGAAATATTGATCTGACCTGTTTTATATAAAAAAGAAAAACAAAAAACAAAAAAAACACAAATAATGGAAGATATTGCAGTCTAAGTTTGTAGATATTATCCCTTTACCTTGCTCTGTGATAATATAAGGGAAGTTAAATGCCAACCAGACTGTCCAAGTCTTAAGTGACATTTGTGAGCACCCGTATATTTATATTAGCGAGTTAGTACAGCACCTTTAGGTATATACAGTCATGAATACTTTAATTTGGGAAACACAAAGGAATAAAGCCACTTATTAAGTTAGTATTAATTAATTAAGTAGGTTGCCAATTACTTTTAACCATCTCTTGTCATGAATGAAACTACTGTGAAATACTGAACTGATACTATCTATCTTAAAGCTTTACTGGCCAATGGCTTATGATATGTGAAAATTGGGTGATCGGCTATGAAATCTCAGCCATTTCCTTCTCCTTGCAAAAGCTGCTGATTTGCAAAATAAAAAAGTGATAATAAGTGCTATGTGATTTTTAGGAGTGCATATTTAAATCTAACTTCCTACTTTGAATAGTGTATACATATATATTGATATGATATAGCACGGGACATGCATAAAGAAGATTCCCAGAATAAAACTAGTATGCTTAGATTAATATCACGATAAAATGAAAACAATAAAAATTTAATGTTTTAAGAAAAAAATCATAAACAAACACATAAGGTTCTTTTAAATGGACAAAAGTCAGTATACAAAAGAAAATTACTCTACATTGAGTAAAGTGCTTTTTAATTAGGCTTTTGACAAGGTTCATTTCATTATAATCATTCTAGTCGGAAGAGGAAATGCCCTCATACTGGTATAGTAACTGCTTCCTTTGATTGATTGTTTTGTTTTTGTTTCCTTAGACCCCATTTACCATTTTCATTCAGAGGGTTCCCATTGTGCATTACCTTGTACATATCAATAAAGTCAGAACTGTACTAAGTATTTACCAGTAATGATAAGTTCTACATTTCATTTGGAGAAAAGGCTACGATCATTCTGTCAAAATCTTCTTTATCGATCAGTCACTTAGAGTCGTGTCTCTTCCAGTTACCTGTATCCCGAACTCCTGTCTTCCTGTTCCTTAGCACCTCCTTTAGCTGTAAAGTGTTAAGGGTAACATTAAAAAACCCGCTCGTAGTTAATAAATAATGCACTAAAATAGATTGTATATTCTGCTCATTTTAGTTTTCATAAAAGTGTTTCATGAGTTATCGGGTGGAATGTGTTTTGTGTCTCCTATCACCCTAGTGTCAACGCAAAGTGTGAACCTCCTGCTTTCTTCTCAGGAGTAAAAACCCTACAATTTACCCTTTGTTCTGTATAGTTACCCAAGTGAAAAGGGTTGGCTACATTTATAAAAAATTCAATGAAATGATGTCTTACCTGGAGACTAGCAATAAAAGCAGAAATCTGGACCGAAGTCGCCATGACTTGTGCGAATGTTCAGGAAATTTACACTTTCCTTTAGAAAAGGTTCATGCCAAGCAGATAGAAGTCAGAAGGTGGCGTTTGGTTTTCTATACCAATATCAATTTTGTGGATGGGGTATCACTTCCAATACCTAAATATATACAAGTAACTTCAAAACAGACTTGTCATGTAACATTTGAGTTAGGATATAGAACATCCTGAGCCCTGGTCGGTGAACAAATTAATATTATGGATTAAAAGTCTTGGTAGCCAGAATCATTATAGGACCTATACACCATGGTATATCTGCTAACTAACTAGAGTAGGAGACAGCTAAGATAATAAATCAAAATTGTGCACCTCATTATTACTGAAAAAAAGTGACTACACTTGTGTGAAGTTTTTTGTTCCCAAGTTGTGTTGTCAGAGAAATAATTATAAGTCAAGACAGTATTTATCCATTGATTTCCTCATATGTGAGTCTTCTTTTCTATCCTGCTGATTGCACAATGCATCATACATGAGATTGAGAGGTCCTCCGTTCAGACTCATCTCCGAAGGACAAATCAAAACACTAAAAGTAACATATTGATTTTCTACAATGATGATATATTTCCACTCATCCCATCATCAGTATTACTTTACAATGCTGGGGCGGTAACTCGGCAGTAATTGTGTAAGGAAGTTATGTAGAATGTGCAGCTGGAACGGTTTGTATTAAAGCAGGAGATTATGGTTTTGTAGCGATGTATGGCGAATCAAACACTTCTTTTAACACACATGAAAACAGGTGTCTTTACGCTGGAGTCTTATTACATGTCTGTAACACAATATAACATTGGGAAGTCATACTGTCTACTGCATTTAGGAATAACCCAACTTTCATCTGGAAAAAAATAAATAGATGTCCTATTCACATTATAACCATACTGGATTCAGTATACGCTGTAGTTATGTGGGCACGGACGGCAAAAATATTATTTGCTCTGTTTTATTCAGTTTATTGTTTATAGGTTACAGAAGGATGCGTTTACAGAGCTGTTTAATACTCTGCTAAAACTGCCAAAACACAGAATTGTTTTGTGAAGAATTGCACCTTGAAGAGATTGAATGGTTTACTAAAGCTAGCATCATTTGTATCTTAAATTGCTTTATTTGTGTTCACGGTGGCTACACATAAGAAGAAATATTGCAATCAGAATATTCTTCTGTGATACGGCATATGAGTAGTTCATTAATAAGTAAATATATACAAATATCAGAATCTTTTGCACTTTCAGAATTTAGTTAGCTATGTCATTACAAAGTACTTTTTGTTTTTAAAATAATCGCTTAACTTTTATTTGGAACACGGGATCCATAGCTAACGCATTACCATATAATATCACAGATTCCTGAAAATGAATTATTAATATGTAGGTGTATACAGTTTTATTTTGTTAATTATTTGTTCGTTCATACAAGGATGATCTGTTCCAGAAATATTGTGGTGTTATTTTATTTTATTTTTATTTTTTTTATTGAAGTTTCCACACACAAAATACATCTGGTTCATAGTATAGGAAAAATGTAAGAATATAATAGTATAACATCTTAAGGCAATTGTGAGGCGGCATAAGCGGCCAGTATTAGGTAACAAACATTTACATACTATATATTATATAGTGCTGCTAGGCATTCTAGTGGTAAGATATATAATTACACTTAGTATTGGCTCATCTCAGCCTGGGCAGGGCAGAGGGTTATAGCATAAAACACAGCTGAAAGTAGGGTAAGGCATATTGATCAACTGGAAACATCCAACTTTAACAGCTTCAGTAACAGAATATGTATAGGGTTGTTAGTTCCGAGGCCCTCTATTTGTTCTGCCATGTGACTAAGCTATGCTCGGTGGAAGTTCATGATCCTGACTGTGATCTGAGAGGTGGTCTGTGAATCGCCACGGTGTGCTGGCCCTTAACTTCTGGGCTTTCACTAGGGTTGGTTCAGGCACCTTCAGCCTCTGGAGGAAAGGCTCTTGGTTCTCAGGCGAGGATAGGGTGAGGACTCCATCCCCGTCCAGGACCACAAGGGAGCTGTCGGTCCCCCAGCGATATTTAATTGTTGCATAATCGCTGTTTGTGGCAAACATAGCCACTTGGACAATATCAATAGACTGTACCTTTAAGGGTTGCCTGTATGTCGGTGGGGATATGTGTTTAACTATGTATAATGTATGCTGGCTGTAATGACGTGTATTTACTGTATTGGCTATCTGCCAAATGCAGATAGCTGTATGTGCTGTATTTTCTTTCGTTTCACGAACGGCACTTTTGTGGGCCGTTCGTGAACCGAAATAACCACCATGTAGTAGCCCACACACTTAGAGGCGGGTGGCGCTTGTTAACCGATTGCAACAATGTTGCAATCGGTAATTAAAGGCTCTCCTAGGTGGCCGCCGTTCGACTACCGACCATGCGGCGGTCGGCCATCTTGGATCCTTTGTTCCCTCAGCGGTGTTTGGTCGTCGAGCGCATGGTACTAAAAACGGCTACTCGATGGCGCGAACACCGCTGAGCTTCTAGGCCATTCAGTATTATGTTCACTAGACTTCAATCGGTCTTTTGAATATACATTTTAATGAAGGTGTTTTTCGTGCGGCGTTCAGTTGTTTTAGCTGGGATCTGAGCGGTAATCTCACGAATGATGCACTCAGACCCCAGCTATCTACCGAACGTCCATTCGTACAAATAGGCTGCATATTCGAAAAGTTATGTATTTTAATATAAATTGTCAGTTCTGCTGCATGGAGGGATAATCCACTTAACGGTACATTCCTGTGGGAGGATCCCTCTCGTGCAGCAGTGCCTGATTGGAGAAATGCCCTGTACAGTAAGTTCCCGATGTAGTCCACTCTGGGAATGCCCCTGGGATGGGACTCAGGAAACCCCTTGCATGGGGAATTGTATAAATTGTGGAGCTGAAAATAAAGACCTCAGTTGACTCTCAGAACTGTGTTTCGTCCGGTTACTGGGAGATTTGGGATATTGCCTTGCTTTTCCCAGCGCTTGACTGTGGATTACTTCCTGAACCAGCAGAATTCGTGGATTTAATATTGCCGTTCCGCTACACTGTTTGGCCACCAGTGCCAGCTGCCTCTTTGCTGCCAACACTGCAAACGGGAGGTCTCCGAATATGGCTATGGCACTGCCTTCAACTTGGACAGTTCCCAGTTCTCTGCATCTGGACATGATGGCAGACCATACTGACACGTCTTTGGACACTGCAATCACATCTCTCGGTGCGTCCGTGGCTTTGTGGACTCTGAATGCTGATAGTATTAATCCTGGGTCTGTGCAGCCTCTGATGCCCTTTGAGGCTAGGAGGTGCTGGAGAAAGGTAAGCATTGCTTCACCTCCAATTCGCTCTGGAATTCCCTGGAGACAGATGCTCCTCCTTCTGTGCCTGGACTCCAGTGCAGTCATCGATCGGGTAAGTCTCTAGACCTGTTCATCGAGGTCCTGCATGTGGTCTTGGGTAGTTTGCAGCCTCTGTTCCCTGGCCGCTCCTTTTGTTTCTACTTCGACCATCCTCTATTTAAAGTTCCACCAGCTCCATGCGTGTTTCTGCAAGGTCCTCCTTCCACATGTCTAGCAGGAGTTTCTTAATGTCCCTCTTAGTTGCCGAATCCTCGTCGGATTCTGGGTCATTTTAGGGGGTCCCCACCGAAGGTGATGTAGGGGTCTCTTCTCCATCTCGGGATTCCCCTGAGGCCTCTTTATCGCTATGCGGTTCAGGCGCCATCTTAGGGAGGACCCATGGGGTAAGCCTATCGAATGAGAGGTGGTGATAAAATTTTAAAGGTTATATAATATTATCATCTTGCAACTTATCAGAGAAAGCCTGAAATATTGGCTTTGAAGCAGAAATGCAATTTCGGCACCTGCTGAAGGTGTAACAAAATGCATTAATATAAATTGGAATGCACTAAAGGGTCCTCAGAACAGAAACCAAGATAGGGCACAGTAAATGGGGCCAAAGGAGTTTAAAAACTATTATGTGAGCGTGATGTGAATCCCCCTGTGCATTTTTAAGAATGTGTACTGATTGGGCAGCATGAATGGTTATTTAGTTCGGTGCGTGCGGCCCGTTCGGAAGTTTGCGTTCGTTTCATGTATGTTGATCATTACACTGATAACGACTATTAGCAAAACACCTGGTAGTATATTTACAATTCAATTCCCTAAAACAATAACTTGTCTATGTAGATATAATGCCCACAAAATATATAAGAGCAGATACACTATTGTACTATGCAGGGCTTTGCAAGCTACTAAGCAGCCAGTAAACATTTTCTATACTTCAATCACTGTATTTTGGGTCCACCCTCCTCTCCAATCTATAGCTGGTTGAATATTGCAAAAATGTCATCAGATTTGTGGGAGGATCAAACAGTGTATATTTCATTCCTTCTGCAAGGATACATAGGTAAGACAGGCACCCTGGCAGAGGAGTACAGTCTCTACAGGGTTAAATACAATTCTGGATAAAAGAGGAAGGAAAATTGTTCTTAATGGGCTAAGTTCCATTTTGCATTGCTTTGTAACTTGATGATTTATATTATTGGGTGGCAGTAAGTTAACAGCCATATAAAATGTCTGTAGACTAGATTATTTTGCTAAGCGCCTGATGTGTTCACAGTTTTTTTGTATGTAATGCTTTAAAGAATAGTAAATTCTTCAAAGTTCCAGATTAAACTTCAAATGAGTTGCAGTAGTTTATTCATATGTTGTGAATTATACACCAAATTTAGAATCCATCCAGGTTCCATCTGAAAGATAAACTGAATGTTAGAAACGAATAATTACCTGTTGGATCATGGATAAATGAAATGCTATCTTTGTATCTAAAGCAGAAATTACAGACATTAAAGTAAAAACGGTAATCTGTGAGGTTTGCACAATGCAAGCACTGATCATTTTGGTTGGCCTATTAGTTAATATTGCATAAGGATAAACGGAATCGTTCCTGGTTTTAGGTTGTTTTTTTCCGTACCCGATCAAGGACCATTTATAGATAATTTATTTTCTAGATTTAATTCCTATATTTTATTCTATAGATAACTAGAAACTAAACCCTTTTAATAAACGGTTTCTTGGTTGCAAACTGGAACTAGCCATGGACTCCTGTCTGTCTTCTAGCACCAAAAATAATAATAATCAAGATTAAGTAATTACCCAATTACCCTACTTTCTGTCAACACCAATTTGGACTATTATTTTCAAAGGTCAATAAAATCATTACCATTAGTTCAGTAATAATACTATTAAACTCCAGGAAATAATTGGGAACTAGTGCTTACCTAATTGTACCATTGCAAGTTAAATATTTTGGTATTTTTATTATCATTTTACCCGTCCAGAACTCAAAATTGCAGTTTCAACAGTTACTATACATAGATTGCATTGCTACTGTGTATTAACACGTTTAAACATAAAAATATCAAAACTTTAAAAAGACCCTTTGTGGTCGAAACATTGCTGAAGCACCTGGAACCCTTCTAATCTTCAAAAACTATTATCTGAGGTTTGGCCTACCTCGAGTCCGGCTGCACACTGGTTATCAAAGGAGTGTGGTGTCACTCTGCTTCATCTCAGTTGATCAATATCAATTCTGAGCATTTTTGGCATCTGACACCAGCATGCACAACAAAGATTAAATGTCAGCATGTACTATACGTGTTGCCAATGTCCTGCCCACGTCCTGCCCTCAGCCTGTCCTCCCTGAGACCTCTCGGCCACATGCTAGCTGGGGAGAAAAGGGCTGCAGGGTGAATTATTTTGGGGGGTGGATAATTTAGGATGGACTACTCTGACCAAAGACTGTGTTTTCTTAAAACACTATTTTTGGGGGTTTGAGTAACCCTTTAAATCTAGTTTTGGTCAAGAACAAAATGTCCAAAATAAGTGCGATTTACTGTGTCTAACAGTTAAATTCTCAAGAAGAGGCTATTTTTAGGGCTCATCATGAAAATGTAAGCTTGCAGAATTCAGCATACTGTTATTGATTATTTCTGAACAGAATGTGGAACAATTCCAAGCCCCTGATCTATTTAGGCTGAGTATACAAATCAAACTTCCATGATAAATGAATTGTAAAGATCAAAATGGCAATTGTTTAATAGTTTTACTTTAACCCCTTAAGGACTGGACTGTTTTTGCGATGTTGTACATTTGCGACCAGGAATATTTTTACACTTTTGTGGTGTTTGTGTTTGGCTGTAATTTTCCGTTTTCTCATTTACTGTTCCCATACAAATTATATATTGTTTTTTTCAGGACAAAAGGGGCTTTCTTTACATACCATTATTTATATAATCTCATGTATTTTAATTTAAAAAAAATAAAAAAATCTGATGAAAAATTGAAAAAATACATGTTTTTTGACTTTTACTTGAAAAATCTTTTACTCATCTACAAAAGCGAATGAAAAAACTGCTAAATAGATTCAAAATTTTGTCCTGAGTTTAAAAATACCTAGTGTTTACGTGCTTTTTTGCTTTTTTTTGCATGTTATAGGGCTATAGGTATAAGTAGGATATTGCGGTTTCAAAACATACATTTTTTAAATTTATCAATAGTGACATTGTAACACTATTATCTGTCATAAATCTCTGAATAACACCCACATGTACATATTTTTTTTAAAGTAGACAACCCAGGGTATTCAATATGGGGTATGTCCAGTCTTTTTTAGTAGCCACTTAGTCGAAAACACTGGCCAAAGTAAGCATTCATATTTGTTTGTGTGTGAAAAAGTAAAAAAACTAAATTGAACGCTAATTTTGGCCAGTGTTTGTGACCAAGTGGTTACTAAAAAAGACTGGACATACCCCATTTGCAATACCTTGGGTTGTCTTCTTTTGCAAATGGTATGCCATCATGGGGGTAATTCTCATTCCTGGGCTACCATACGCTCTCAAAGGCAGCGTAACCAACCTGGCCATTTTCAATGTAAAAATATTTGACCCATATATTTGACCTTGCAACTTTCAAAAATACTATAAAACCTGTACATGGGGGGTACTGTTTTACTCAGGAGACTTTGCTGAACACAAATATTAGTGTTTAAAAACTGGAAAACGTATCACAACAATTATATCAGTAAAAGTGCTGTTTGTGTGTGAAAAATGCAAAAAAAGTAACTTTCACTGACAATATCATCGCTGTGATATGTTTTACTGTTTTGAATCACTAATATTTGTGTTCAGCGAAGTCTCCCGAGTAAAACAGTACCCCCCATGTACAGGTTTTAGGGTGTCGTAGAACGTTACAGGGTAAAATACAGTGCTAGCAAATTAAATTCTCTGGAATTTCGGCCTGGGTTGGCAGGCAGGTCCTCAAATTGCAATCAATAAAATTACTGAATTATGTAAAAATATTACATAAATACGCACGTAGAATTTAAATATATATGCATATTTATATATTTGAAGTCTATGTGTATATTTATATAATTATTTATGTAATTTTGTATATGGACGTATGTATATTTCTTATTATTTTTATTTATTTTATATACATAGATATATATATACAAATTCATTCTAAGTGTATTTTGATATAAATATATATATATTAATTTTAAAATACAGTTAGAATAAAATTTCATATAGCTATATAATTTTTTTAAATTTTTTATTATTATTTAAAAAATTTTTTATTTAATTTAAATTACTTATTATTTATATTTTATAATAATATATATATACAATATATATCGTTATTATATATATTATATATATACGTGTGTAATTTAATTATAAGTGTATTTTTATATTAATATAAGTACATATTAATATAAAAATACACTTAGTATGGCATTATATATATGATATATAGACATATATTCTATAGGTATAATATATGTCTATATATCATATATACACATATATAATTATTTTTATTTTTTTTATTAACACTAACTTTAATTTATTTTTTGATTTTACACTAGCAGGGAGACTGCCTGTCAGCACAGGCAGTCCCCCTGCAGGCAGATACATGGACACCTATTGTGACCATGTGATCGCTGTGTTAAGCGATCACATGGCCACAGGGGTCCTAATCTGCCGTGGGGAGACTGTCTGGGCTGCAGGCAGTCTCCCCACAACCGGTGGAACACTGATCGCCGCCGGGGGAACGACGGCGATCAGGTAAGTACCCCCAGACCGTTAGGACGGTTCAGGACCGTCATCGGTCGGCAAGGCAAAAATGCCGATGACGGTCCTGAACCGTCCTCGGTCCTTAAGGGGTTAAGGGCTATTTGCTTTCTTTATTCTGTAGGTTGTTGCTGGTAGACATTCTTTTCATTTGGATACAATCACATTACAAAATAGCTTTTTCATTAAAACTAGACTCTGTAATTACAGTCTGGAAAAACGCGTGTCCCGCTATTACCATGCCTCACGTGTTATTATAGAACAGAAGGGATTAGTTACATAATATGCCAAAATATTCTTAACGTTCCACTGGGTGATTTTTGGACTCTTTCTGTGGTTATCTCAGAAGACGTTGCAATTATGAAAACAATAAGATCAATTATTGTTTTATTTTTGGACGTAAAGAACATTTTTACAACTTGAGCTGTTCCCTTACTGTTCGACATCTGAAGATGCTTTTGTTACGTGTGTTTAAACAGAGTCTACAGCATCTACGGTAATAGATTTGGGTTTGATGGCATTGCAGAAGATTTTTTTAGTCGACTGACGAGATATGACTAGAACTATTTAAAATGTAAAAAACATCTGGTACGTGGGTGTGCTAATGCCAAAAATCCCCCAGTCTGGCTGTCTTGTTAAAGCCAGTAAAAGTGATTTTGGAATCACAGTATCAATAAATATAGATGGGTGGAACATGTAGAAATTAGCCTGTTTTCACCTTCCAGAGGAGTTACAGAAAAACATCTAAAATTCACGTCAGCGATTTTTAGTTTTCTCCGTAAATTATTGAAATTTTGCAAAAAAAATGCTAACATTGTCAAAATATACAATTTCCTACACAATGCTCTTTACTTTCAAGATTTGTCAATAAACTGCTAAAGCTCAAGAATTCAAAGATAATGTCAAATTTAAGTTAAAAAAGCCAAATTATAAGTTCAGTCAGCAATGTATTCAGCTCAGCTATTTTGGCTGAAAATTGAAATTTTTTTTAATTTATTAAAAATACATAGTTTAGTAAAATACCCTGAATGTCTGAAATACATTTGCAAATAACAGAAAACAGGAGTTTTAAGAAATGAAACACTGTTTCCCAAAATGAAATGATGTATACAGAGAAACAGAGGCATGTTATGATTTTCTTTCACTGCAGGGAGAAAACCGGCTTTTGAAGGAGTAACTAGGGTTTATCAGATAATGTTATTTTACATCGATTTACATTTGCAAAAATAAAGATAGCAGAAGTGTATACACATAGTTAGGAGGGAATAGTTTAATGTGGGATCCACGTGAACATGATCTGTTTTCGTCTTTTAGGTGAGTTCTAGCAAAACACATCAAAATATGCCAGTAATTCAGGGGGAGATTGTGTTCCCCACAAATCTCCCCCTGAATACATAGTGAAGGAAGATGGCAGAGTCATTTATGGCTACTTTCTTGGTCGCCAGAGGTCTTGAGACCACCATTCATTCATTCATCTATAGGGTTTTGTTTTTTTAACACAACCGATATGCCTATTTTATTATTTTATAATGCAAAAATAGAAAAAGGTACAGGCACTATTTTTGCATTATCGAGTATTTGGTACCTGGTACTGGCACCGGCCTAGCCGCACCCAGATACATATTGTATGGGGATTGAGTGCATTTCTACACCCCTGTTTCCAGGTCATATTTAATTATTTTAGATTTTAGTTCAAGAATTGCTTGTGAATAAGGTCTCCAGCAATTACTGTTGCTTTCGCCTCAGTTTGTGTAGAAATTGTCACAATTTGTAGATAATGTGATCTTTGCTACAAATTCAGTTTAGCTTTTTGTTTTTAGTTTTTAGCGTTAGTTTTTTACAATCTGCATGACACCAATGTTTCTTTTAATTAAAGGTTCAGAGTTGCCCCAAATATCAGGGGCCGAATCTGGTTCTATAAGTAGAAACCATAATTTATGGTTTGAACTTTATCAGAACAAGTAGTGCATAGGATATCTGAAAGACATATGTAGGAGTTCAAATCGTAATTTCTTCCCCAATCCATCCTTAAAGGAGAAATGGGAGAATGGGATTACCCATTCTGTAATATAGAATCAGTTTATTGTATCAGAGAAACAGCTGTCCTTTCCTGACCTGAATTTTGGATTCCTGTTTCTTCAAACATGTTTTTATCTTTTACTAACTAGTTATTGAGTTAGACATAGAACGGTTAGCGTTGAATATATCACTAGAGATGTGCACGGGGAAATAAAAATTGGTTTGTTTTGATTAATTAATTTTAAAGTGTTAGTTCATCCGAAATTCGTGAAATATTGATTTGGTCAACCTGAATTTAGTCCAAAAATTAAAATTTTTCAAAATGTGGATGCTCATTGTTACCTATGGGGAGTGAATGAAAGTGTGCAGTCACAAAGTAACAAAGCTCCAATTTAGGGAGTTATCTGCTAAACTGCTGAAATATCAAAATTAAGAAAATCGGTTTTCTTAATATTAATCCTTCCGCTGTTTAGTACATAATCTCCCTTAAAAGCTCTTCTTTCAGTTACATGTCATGGAGGAAAAAAATAGACTTGGAGATGTTTTGGTCCAAACGGCTTTTTGTCCGAATTTGGGTCGGGTAATCAGTGAGTGATTCTGAATCGTGTCTGTGGAACCATAAAAAGATTTGGGGAAAAAGATCATTGATGCCTAGGGGTCAGTCACTAAATGATTTTATTCACAGGTAAAGTGAGAAGTGACCAATAGGGAGGAAAACGGGAGGAGCAGTAAAAACAATCTATATGTATGTATTTATATATAATATATTTATTAAATATTAATGATATAAATATATAAATACAGGCTTATTTTTTCCCCCATCTTCTTTTTCTTTCTTCTCTACTGATTACTTTTTCTTATTCTTCATCTGTGGTCCAAATGGCTGCCACATGCTTTTATCAGTGTACTGAATAATATATACAGAATAAATAATGTATTTATATAATGTACATATTTTACAGTACACTGACTGGCCCATATTCATGCCCTTTTAGTTCATGTGATGATTTTTTTTTCACTTGGGTTTTTGGTACCAAAATTCTGCTGAACCAAACTGAAATATGGCCGATGTCTCAAAATATTTTCTATTTTTGAGAAAAACGGTTTGGCCAAAGCACTTTTTTTTATTTGCTATACCTCTAAGTCTCGAAAAAAAAGGAATAAAAAAAGAAGACACCTGTTCATTAACCTTTTTTCCTAAAAATAATGATGAAGGTGAAAAATGTATTTTTTTTTTTGTATTTATCCTTTAGGTTGAGAAACTCCACCCAATCTCCAATTAGGAGATCACATCTGCACATAATGGGAGCTTATTAAGGCATTCGTATTGTTTGGAAGTAATTACCCTACATTTTCTATAATTACCATATCTATAAAACATGTTACCTTTTTATCTCTGTTCTGCAGTAATAGAGGAATAGCTATCTTAGTTAACTGCCATTATCCTTTCTATTCTACACAGTGGAAATGTATCAGACAAAAGTGCTTTCATTCACAATCCAAACAATAAGAATATTCTCTTCATATGGGAAGTCACAAAAAAAAAAAGTAATTAAACACAGAACAAGTTTCTAAAATTATGTTAACATATATCAGAGCACGTTTCATAATACTTTTAAATAGTTTATCATCAGTGCCCTTTAATGTCTAATTATTACTTTGCTCTGCTATTCTTAACTCATCTCTTTTTACATCAATTGTTTACATCGATTTTTTTTATTTACAGTATGCGCTTACAAGTCTGTATATTTGCATTAACCCTTGCATTGCCAACTGCACCTACTACTGTTAAAAAAAAAAGAAAGAAATTAACACATGAAACATAGGACACAAATTCAGTACAACACAGCAATTTTGTGTATAAACTGCAGTTCATGAAAATCTTAAAGGAGCGCTATAGTGTCAAGAACACAAACATGTATTCCTGACACTATAGTTCTAAAACCACCGTTTAGGTGGTCAGCCCCCATTACCTCAGGTTAGAAAAGTGATTTACTCACCTTTTTTCCAGTGCCACGCGGGGCTGCTCACATCCTCCCCTGATCTGCCTCCTTGGCTGTCATCATTAAAATTGATGATCTCAGCCAATCACAAGGCTATCCCACAGGAAAGAATTGGATTGGCTGAGATCGTCAAGTCTGATGATCTCAGCCAAGAAGATGGGGAGGGGGTGGATCCAAATACAGCCCTGGCCAATCAGCATCTCCTCATCTCCTTATACAGTGTGCAGCACTAACCGAGGAAGCTCCTCCAGTGGCCTTATGAGGAGTGGCCACTAGAGGTGTGCTTAGGCTGTAAACACTGTCTTTTTTCTGAAAAGGCACTGCTCACATTAAAAGCCTGCATGGACAGGCTATATTTGCTAGGACAACTACATTAAACTGCAGTTGTTCTGGTGACTACAGTGTATTTTAAAAATAAATAAAATGTGATTTTACAAAATTTTACATTTTAAAAATGTTTCCATGTATTTATAGAAATATGGGAGAGGAAGTAATTCATTTTTCGAATCTATATTGCTAGTTCTGTAAAGAAGCACAAATAGGCTCAATGTTGCATATGTAGTAAATAAATAAAATATATAAAATACCACATTTATGGGTATTTGCAAAGCACCTGATGGAATATTTTCCCACTCTGGAAGAAGTGAAAGTCTTTTGTGCTGTTATCATAATTCCAGTATTGTAACCTTTGCACAGAAACGCTCCATTCTGACATTCTTTTCTTAGAACCTAAAACTTCCTGAGAAAAGAACTTGTTGTCACAGCATGTCCAAGAATCCCCGCTATAAATGTCCGTTCTTCTACGATCTCAGAAGAAATACGGAGGTCCTGAGAGACTTAACTTTTGTTTTTAGATTTTCAGTCATAAACTGTCTTTTAGTTTTTGAGAAAAGTTTAAAATTCAGGAACACATGTACCCATCAGGCAGTTATACCATAGATTGTCACACTGGTACTTCAATTGCAAGCACGTCACAGATGCAAAATGTTAAATGCCGGTTCTAGGCTCTACTAAGCCCTCTCTGATGTACTGCTTTATACATAAATATATAGATATTTTATGATTACACACAGAACATTTTAAAACATTTAACTCTCACAAACAGAGTTTTCTACCATCATGCCTTACAGGGTAGTTATATTAAATTGATGACTTTTAGTAAGATTACGGATAGATGTCTGCTGGTACTCTAAAGATAAATATATATTTGGCACGTCCGTCTATTGATTGGGAAAATTGGTGCCCCTATACTAATAAAAAGAATGTTCCATATACTCCAATTGATCAGTTAAATTCAAATTGCATAAAGTTCTAAAAAAGTGTCTTATGTTAAACCCATCATTGAAAAACAAAACAGTTTCATTATAGTTCCATTTAAATTTGTCCTCTTGCAAATTACAGGAGCCAAAGTACAGGGCTGCATTTTAGCTTGTTTGCAGAATGTAATACCATAAATGCCTTTTTAGCCAGGCTGCTGTACTTACTGTATAAAGATTTAGCCTTAATGCCAACATATAGACATTATGTTTATATATTTCTGACATTTTGGTGAGCTTTTTTTAGACCTGTATTTCTTTTATCTGCTTTTACACCTAATGTATGTGACAAAATAATGTATTTTTGTTACTATGCTAGTGTCTCAGATGTTTTCGCACATGTTGTATGACAAGGCACGAAATATACTTTCTAAAATCTCTTATCCCTTTCACTATTTACATAATTGAATTTTTTTTGTTTTATCCATGAGCTATTCATCCACATTTTGAAATAAACAATATGCCTTTTTTTTAAGCAAAAGGAATTCAATATCAAGGGATTTATTTGGCAAATTCGCTGGCTTAAATAGGTTGCTTTAGACAGATGTGGACAAATGTATATGTACCCTTCTACTTTTTTTTTAGGAAATATAACAATTTTCTCTGCATTAAGTACAAATTGACAAACGTATTTGGTATCTACCATTCTTTATTTAAAATGTAATAGAACAGAAACTTCACGTTTGATTTAGGTTTTCGCATATTGCTTTTAACAGTAAAACAAATGAAAATGGAATGGACAAAAATAGTGGTACGCTCAACAACCTTTGGAGACAATAACTGCAATCAAGCACTTTCTGTAGCTCCATATAATATATCTACATTTTTTTAATGGGATTGTGGTCCATTGTTCTTGAGTTTCTTCAAGTTTCATGGGAACCTTATCCCAGCTGCGTGTCCCGGCTCTTTCCACAGATGTTCGATGGGATTCAGACCTAGACTTCTAGAAAGCCACGTTTTAACAGGCCAATGTTGTATCCGTTCTTGGGTGCTTTTTGAGGTATATTTTGGGTCATTATTTTGCTGCAGTACCCAATATTTGTGACTGAGACACAGCTGTCTGACACTGGAAACGATGTCTTGCTCCAGGAAGTCGTCTGATTTCATTGTGCCCAGATTCTAGGCATCCAGTGCCAGAGGCAACAAAGCAACCCCATCACTGAGCCTCCTCCATGTTTGTTTCATTGTAGGGATGGTTTAATATCCCATAAACATGGAGTTTTTAAGATTTGTCAAAAAGTTCTACTTTTCTTTCATCCGTCCAAACAACAGACTTCTTTCTCCCAGAAGGACTGTGGCTTGTCAACGTGCATTTTGGTAAATTCCAGTCAGAGTTCAGAGCAAATGGTGCATTACAGTATTTTATTAAAAGGCAAAGGTACCAAATACGGGTATTAATACTTTCAGCTACATCTGTTTCTTCCATCATAAACTACATTTCTATTGTTTACTGTATATTTGTATTTTCTCCTTAAATTTATCTCATTTTCCATTTTACCGAATGCTGTTAGTACTTTTTATATTCTTGGAATCATATCCATATTCTAAGAATTTATACCCAATGGTCAATTGCTTCTCGGAATGTCACATGTGCAAAAAAATATAAATGTCTTGAATACATTATTCCCACAGAATACTTGTTTCTGAGACACCTAAGGCCAAACCACAGTAAACATTATGGATTGTCCTCAAAGTTAAATGTTTAAAGAGAAATCATTCGGTACGCGAATCACTGTCATGTTTATTTATTCTGTACTATTTTCCCTTTTTCTTTTTTTTCTCTCCCTTTTCCTTTTTGTTTTTGTTTCTGTTTTATGAACCAAGATGTGAAAACAAATAAATCTGGATGTGTTTTATTTTGCGGTTTCTCTGGTTTTAAAGTGTTTCCAAGCATTATCCCAATTTTCCATAAAACAATACAATGTAGCATTAAGAACGTTTTTTTGATGAAAATTGAAGGAAGCAGATCTTTTCAGGAACTTTAGTTTGATGGCAGATATTTGATTTTTCCAGAATGTTTTTTTCACATTTCTTTAGCAAACAGTTGCACAACACACGTGGCGTCTATTCAGTCTAAGCACCATAAGCACGTTGCATTACAGGTAAGAGCATTATGCTTAGAGCATCCTGAGCCCAGTTCTGAATTCTGGGTTGTCGCATCTCAATTTTGGATCTCTCTTGCTCCACTCTGGAGCAGTGTGCAACTTTTCCAATACCAAATAACAGCATGGTTCATTAAAATGTCAACCAGTTTGTGTATAAACTGATAGCAGCATCAGTACAAATCAGTTAATAGGTCATTTTAATCATTTTATGTAAAGACTGGGACTGTGGGAGGGATAAAAACCCCTGCTGAATAGGAGTGTTTAGGATAAGGTCACTTCTCTCAGACTAGAATAAGTGGCTGATTGGAGTGTCTTAACCTAACGAGGAACAGGTCTACCTGCAGGTGCTGGAGTGTCTTAACCTAACAAGGAACATGTCTACCTGCAGGTGCAGACACACTAAGCACTGCTCCAAGATTATGTAAATGTATTTATTTATTTATATTTTTCAATATTTTAAGGCATTTAATGCATTTACCCGGACTAACCATTTTAGTAAAAAAATGTTTTAAAAAAAAAACCAGAAAAAATGCATAACACTTCTTTAGGTAAGTATAGAGTGACTTGTGGATGGATGGGTGGATGAGACAGACAGACATACATACATACTAGCCTCAAAGGCAATCCCATGCATTCTCAAAGTCAGTAGTAGTTTCATTCACCTGTATTACAGCCGCCGCTTCCAGTGAAAATAATCCTCGTTTTGTCTACACGATACAGTGTGTAACGCATGCAGTAACTAACTTTCCTTCCCAGCAATGTGTTTGTGTTCCTTGTAATATAGTGATTGCACAGAAACACTGTAACATAGTGAAGCAAGACACAATCTCACTCTGAAAAAGGAAACATTCTAATACATTGTGCCTCGACACAATTTTGTTTTCAGGCTTGGGATCCCCACTGAGTTCTGAAAATGCTAAGGTTATTTACTAAACTGTGAATTGTCAGGAAGTGTACGTGAAAATAGCCAAAGTGTTTTCTACTTATATCAATATTTGTGGTGGCAATCACAACTAATATGTTTACTTCTGAGCCTAAAACTCAAAATTGTCCACGTATTGATATATAATTTAAGTATAAAACATATAATATATTTGATCCAAATTCAAGGTAAATGAAGGCATGATAAAAAAAAGTTAGACATCGTTCATAATCTTTTTTTAGATGAGAGGGAAGCATGCGGCAGAGTCCTCTATACTGTATATTATTATCCTTCACGTAGGTAGTACCGACATAACAGAATGTATAGAATTTGCGTTGCGTTACACTGGTTTTACAATCAGACCTCTGTAACTGTGAAGGGTTTTCAAACTAAAATTATAAATGGACTGGCACTAATCCTGTGAGACTCTGCTGACAACCGTGATTAAATCTTCTAAGCGGAATATGGAATCCAGTGTAGCTACTGTATGGCACATGTCGAAATCGTATTCCGAGCCGGAATGCTTGAGGAGCGTGACATCTGACTAGTATTCAAATTAAAAATGGACAACTGAATTCTCCAGGTTCAACTCTCTGCTGTGCTAAGTGAAAAACAAAGTTGCTTTGTACTTATCTAACATGGAAAATGTTGCAAACTCTGGCTAAATATGTAAGCAAAACATCTTACAAAAGTGTAACTGTCACATAGAATATAACAATTTCAGCATAATTAGAAATATTTCTCTGATATTTTTCCCCCGTGAATGTTTTATTGGATTTTCAATTTTTTGGGGGATTTTAGTACAAACACTGTGCTAATAACTACTAAAGGAAAAGCAATCAACATTGCACGGAAGTACATTTTAGCTTCAACAAGTGTAAAAGTAAATTGTATTTCTCCAATTTAATCACATGGGACACTGTTGAGGACTATTATTCAGTCAGTATCATGCATGCACTGCCATCTTTAATCTTAAACTTCTTCAAATCTGAGAGTGTGGTTATAAAAGCAGCTCAGCTGTTCAGGTAGTATCGGGGGGTGTGGGGAGCTGCAGCGAGTGTGCTGCACAGGTAGTGTGTGTTATAGGAGGTGTGGGGAGCTGCAGTGAGTATGCTGCTCAGGTAGTGTGGGTTATAGGAGGTGTGGGGAGCTGCAGTGAGTGTGCTGCTCAAGTAGTGTGGGTTATAGGAGGTGTGGGGAGCTGAGTGCCCATGCAGCTCAGGTAGTGTGTGTTATAGGAGGTGTGGGGAGCTGCAGTGAGTGTGTGTTATAGGAGGTGTGGGGAGCTGCAGTGAGTGTGGGTTATAGGAGGTGTGGGGAGCTGCAGTGAGTGTGGGTTATAGGAGGTGTGGGGAGCTGCAGCGAGTGTGCTGATCAGGTAGTGTGTGTTATAGGAGGTGTAGGGAGCTGCAGTGAGGGTGCTGCTCAGGTAGTGTGTTATAGGAGGTGTGGGGAGCTGCAGTGAGTGTGCTGCTCATATAGTGTGTGTTATAGGAGGTGTGGGAGCTGCAGTGAGTGTGCTGCTTATATAGTGTGTGTTATAGGAGGTGTGGGGAGCTGCAGTGACTGTGCTGCACAGGTAGTGTGTGTCATAGGAGGTGTGGGGAGCTGCACTGAGCATGCTGCTCAGGAAGTGTGTGTTATAGGAGGTGTGGGAGCTGCAGTGAGTGTGCTGCTCAGGTAGTGTGTGTTATAGGAGGTGTGGGAGCTGCAGTGAGCATGTTGCTCAGGTAGTGTGTGTTATAGGAGGTGTGTGGAGCAGGAATGAGAATTATTTTATGCAGATGCCCGGCTTTTTGTGATGTATTTATCCTTCAGATTCATGGCATACATCTCCACAGTCTATGACTGACATTAACATTAATTTATTGTTATATAACCCACTGGGAATCTAACTGGAATTGTTCTACTTATAGAGCATAGTTTGGGATAAGGAATGGGAATAGTTTTTACGTGCGTATTCCAAATGAAAAATTGTGATTTACCCTCATAGCCGGATGTTTATAGGACCGAATACGGCAATTTTAACGTTTGATTTGGTGTCTTCGGAATTGTTCCAAATACCAGTGTAACAGTTCCTTGTATTCTCCAGTATTTCAAAAATACTTGTTTTATAACCCAAAATAAAGAAAAAGTTAAAAAGCTTAGTGGTTTTAGAATAAATGATAGTTTTTCCCTTAGTGGGAGGACAGCATAGTTTGTTGTTTATTGCAATGCTTCCGGTTCAAATACTTTAAATTTAAATTTGAAATTAATTTTGAATTCTGGACAATCCTCCCTTTAAATAAGCCTGTAATTGTCCGTGTGCATGTCTACTCTCTAGAGCTCGCCCCATCCATTCGGAATAGTGAATGACCATAGTATATTAAAATAAAGTGTTTATTTATTTTTTTATTCACGGTATACTTGTCGATTTGTTTTTGGCCACATTTTTGAATTCTCAAGCCAAGATGTACTCAAAGTAAAGACGAGCAATGCCGAGCGGTTTCAGGTGTTTAGGGTGATTCTGGATTCCATGCGTCCTGACAAAGATGACTGATGGAAAAAATATATAATTAATGGGGGACAGTCACTTCCCCCATCACAGATCAAGTGAGAAATGATGAAAAGATAGGAAAAAAGGATTAACAGTATCAAAAAAACTATATTAATATTTATATTAAACACATATATAACTTGCTTTCGCTCTGTTTATTTACTTTATCTGTAAGCCAAACAGTGGAGAAATGATCCTATCATTGTACTGGGAACACTATCCATAGAATTTATATTATGTTAACAATTTGGAGCCTACTGATTGGCCCATATTTGTACCAATTTTTTGCTCTGATTCAGATTCTGAATCAAAATCTTGGTTCCAAAATTCTGACGAAATGAGTGTGTCTCTAGTTTTGGAAAAAAGGTTTGGCTGAGCCAAATCTTCTTCGTGGCACATTATAGGTGGTGTTGTGTCATGTTATTAATAATTTTAAACTGGATAGATAACAGCCACCTACCTGACATTCGAACACATATTGTCTCACCACAAAAAAGCCATTTAATGTTAAACTCCATACGCAATGTTTTTTCATTCTTGAAGTCTGTTCTTAATTAGCTCAAGTGATGAAAAGCAACATACATTTTGTTGAATGCAGAAATGAGATTTAAGAAAAATGCCATCAAGCCAATATAGAGACTATTTTCTAACTACCAATCAGTCATTTTTAACTAATGCCGCATGTTTTAAGAAATAAAAACATCTCAGAGAGAGGAAACAAGTTTATAAAAACCCTTAATTAATGTATAAATATTTACTGCAGATGTAGAGCCAAAAAAACATTGTGCATCAAAAATCGATTTGTTAAAATTTCAATTCAAAACAAATTTACAGAAATATTTTAGGGACATGGAAGCTTTTATGTCATACAACAGAAATATTGGTGGTGCAAAAGCTAAATTGTTTGCTCTGACCAACAAAGGTACGATGTGCACCCTGTTATGATTTTTTAAATACTTTTGTGTAGTTCTTGTAATACCCCAGGAGCTCTGTAGCTAAAAAAACAACCTAATATCAATACAAAGATAAAATGTAACTGAACACATTGTTTTCTTTGACGGGCATTAAAGAAAGGGTTCTTTTATAATAGCATTTCTGGTATTTATTTTAAAAAAGAGCAGGTTGGTATGTGCTACAAGCCAACCCTGCCCAGATAACTGACAAAGAAACTCCAAGTGTGTATTGTGTTTCATTCTTTTCTTTCATATTAACCTACATTTAACTCTCGATTTTTGTGGCAGTCACATAGCTGGAATTTATTAAAAGGCACATGATGTTCACATATTCTCTTCAACGAGATACACTGATTATTGTTATTATTATTTATATAGCGCCAACAAATTCCGCAGCGCTTTACAGTGAGTGGACTAACAAACATGTAGTTGTAACCAGACAAGTCTGATGCACAGAAACAGAGGGGTTGAGGGTCCTGCTCAATGAGCTTACATGCTAGAGGGAGTGGGGTAAAGGGACACAAAAGGTAAGGGGAGTAATCACTGATCAGCCACAATATTAAAACCACCTGCTTAATATTGTGTAGGTCCACCTCATGCTTCCAAAACAGCTCTCATGCGTTGAGGTGTGTCCTGTGGTATGTGGCACCGAGAAATTAGTAGCAGATCCTTTAAGTCCTGTGTCTTCATGGATTGGTTATGTTGTTCCAGCACATCGGACAGATGCTCAATTGTATTGAGATCTGGGAAAATTGGAGGCCAAGTCAACACCTTGAACTCTTTGTCATGTTCTTCAAACCCTTCCAGAACAAATTTTGCTGTGTGGAAGGGTCCATTATCCTGCTGAAAGAGGCCACTGTCATCAGTGTTGCTGTGAAGGGGTGTACATGGTCTGCATTAATCTCTAGGTAGATGGTACTTGTCAAAGTAATATACACATATGCCAAAATCCAAGGTTTACCAGCAGAACATTGTGCACCCTCCAGCCATCTCTTCTCCAGCTAAATGAAACACACATGGCCATGCACCTGATGTAAAACTCCATGGTCCAGTTCTGATGCTCACATACCCATTGAAGTTGCTTTCAGGTGGACAAGGGTCATCACTGGCACTATGACTGGTCTCTGCGGCTGCACAGCTCCATACACGGCAAACTGTGATGCACTGTGTGTTTTCAAACCTTTCTGTCGCTGCCAGCTTTAGATTTTCAGCAATTTGAGCTACAGTAGCTCATCTATGTGATTGCACCAGGTGAGCTAACCTTGCTTCCCACATGTATGAACCTTCTGCCAGCTCACCAGTTGTCCTTCCTTGCGCCACTTTTTGTAGGTACTAACCACTGCATACTGGGAACACACACAAGACTTGCTATTTTGGAAATGCTCTGACCCAGTCGTCTAATCATCACTATTTGGCCCTTGTCAAAGTCACTCAGATCTTTACTCTTGTCTATTTTTTCCTGGTTCAAACACATAAAATTCAAGAACTGACTGTTCACTTGCTGTCTGTTGTATCCCACCCCTCGACAGGTGCATTTGTAAAGCTATAATTAGTGTTATTCATTTTCACCAGTTTTAATATTGTGTCTGATCAGTGTACCTTTGTACATAGTTCCCAATGTTAGAAATGGTCAGAGAGTGACGATTGTATCATGCAAGGCATTATTGGAGTGATGAGCAGTGAAAAGAGTATTGCCAAGATATTTAAGATGACTACATGATCAATTATAGCCATTTATGTCACTCTAGGGATAATTTAGCACTTGACATAAATATTGTTTTATAAATACTAATTTCCAAGCTCATTTAGTGACACATTTTTTGTCATCCTGTGGTGCATTCTGACCAATAATGTAGGAAGTAGGGTTAAATGATGTCAACAGGTAAAAGACCTTCGTTGATGGAGATTTTCTCTCCTTGCAGATTACACTTGAGTATAATTTCCCAGTTGAATTAATAATGACCCGCAATAAGGCAATCTCTTCTGTTTGTAGGCTTTTGGTATCTCTGCTTAGGCACTGATTGGAATTATTGCTGTCTTCTTCATAGCTTATATATGTAGGTAAAGGTAACTTAGTCACGCACATGATACAAAACTTAGTCACACTCTGATAAATCGCCAATGAGTATGGTGGAGGGTCATTGGCTGATCAAAAATCCCTTTACATTATATATAAATAATTACTCATAGGTTCATATGTAACAACCGAGCTGCCTAAATCTATTTGATGAAAGGAAGGGGAAGAATTATATGTGGGAATAGTTCCAAAATTATAAATTGTCCAAGAACATCTGCAGGGTGATAATGGACAGCCCTGCTATCAACCCTCCCCAACCTGTTTTATAGCAGTCAACAACGGTGAATAGACACATAATATATTTAACCCTGCATCAGATCTGACCGTTGGATGGTTGGGTAATTGTCCTATCTCCTTCAGACATTTCTCCAATCTTTTAGGTTGTCATAAAAATATCTGTTGTCCTCGCAATATAGTTTTGAATCCTGTTTCCACATAGTTATTTTACTTGACTGACTCCAAGGGTCTACAGTACTGCTGATGTTCAATTAACAAAATATTTTTGTTTTAGAGTTTAAAAAAAATGAAAATAAAACCTCTGCTTGTGAGTCTTACCAGTTTAAGTGCTACAAAGCCCTTGGAACAGACTGTGAAATCTAAAGAGGTGGTTTATTTTCTGAGTCTACCGTAAATAAGAAAAAATGTGTTCCTAACTAATTTACTAACCTCCTAATCAAGCACCATAGTACTATATGCCTCCGTCCAAATTAAATCTGAAGTGGGTAGCCCCCAGCAGCGCAGTTACCCAGGATGCACTGTGGGAAGATAACGCTGGATAGTTTAGGAGGTAACATTGACTAAATTGGGTTCATAAACACTTTGGCTTCTCCAAGTTTTTAGATTAACATTCCTTTTTAGATCAACCAAGTTCTACATAAACTCCATATTTATTGTAATTATAAAGAAGCACTTTACCGGACATATAAAGAGGTGATGGATGGACATCCGGAATGCATCTGACGTTTGTGTTAAACTTTCTGTAACTATGTCCTTTATATGTAACCAATAATTCTGTAACCTGTGTCTTTCTCTGTAGATAATTCTTCACTGCACATGCTCAGAAAACCTATCTCTGACCGCTCTTCTTGAAAAATATTGTGAAGCCATGTCTGTAGTCTACAATGGCACAGGTACGTAACAAGCTTTCTCCTGTATTTACCATATTTATTGAAAATGCTAGCATTGATTTGGGTTTTTTTGGTTTTGTTTTTTTTACTTTTTTATTTTCAATTGATTCAACTTTGTTTCTATAGTGCTGAGTTTATATTGTAACGCTCATTTAATAGCATTAAACCATTCTTCTGTAAACACTACACAGACCATAATAGCAGGGATGCTCCACTACCCAAATACAAAATAAATCAAAATCAAAATCACTGTGTAGTAGATATACCCAGAGTGAAGACATGCATGCATGCATTTAATTATCTATATTTTAATTTTGGCTATATCTGAAATCAGCTTGCAAAACCTGGAGATCTATTGTCTGCTGCCTTTGCAAACCCTCCCCTTCTAACTCCGCCCAGACATTCTGTGGCTGTCCAATCACAGACTTCCCACTGCAGCTCAATGAGAAGTCTTTGCAAGGCAGGTGCTCTGGGCAATTGCTGCCTCTTGGGGTCAGCTGCATTGAGCTCACTAAACCTTGAAGTAACAGGACCTGTTGTTTGCTTGAGAGTCAAGGGGGTGTAACCAGGTTAATTAATAGAAGTGTAAATTTCTATTGAAGTCTGCACTTTTTGCAAAATGAGAAAATAAAACGCACTCTTCCCACATAAAGCTTTTCAGCAAGCTAAAGTTATTTAAGGGTCTGGAGTGACCTTTTAATAGCATTTCATGTTTATTGTCTACACTTATACAAGTATGGAGTTTCTTGTCTACAACTGGACAAGTATAACTTTTATTGTCTATCCCTACACCGTGTTTATTATCTATACCAATACATGTATAGCGTTACTTGCTGATTTTAGTACAGGTATAATGTTTGTCTATCACTATACCGTGTTTATTATCTATACCAATACATGTATAGCGTTACTTGCCGATTTTAGTACAGGTATAATGTTTGTCTATCCCTATACCGTGTTTATTATCTATACCAATACATGTATAGCGTTACTTGCCGATTTTAGTACAGGTATAATGTTTGTCTATCCCTATACTGTGTTTATTATCTATACCAATACATGTATAGCGTTACTTGCTGATTTTAGTACAGGTATAATGTTTGTCTATCCCTATAACGTGTTTATTATCTATACCAATACATGTATAGCGTTTATTGCTGATTTTAGTACAGGTATAATGTTTGTCTATCCCTATACCGTGTGTATTATCTATACCAATACATGTATAGCGTTACTTGCAGATTTAGTACAGGTATAATGTTTGTCTATCCCTATACCGTGTTTATTATCTATACCAATACATGTATAGCGTTACTTGCTGATTTTAGTACAGGTATAATGTTTGTCTATCCCTACACCGTGTTTATTATCTATACCAATACATGTATAGCGTTACTTGCCGATTTTAGTACAGGTATAATGTTTGTCTATCCCTAAAACGTGTTTATTATCTATACCAATACATGTATAGCGTTTATTGCTGATTTTAGTACAGGTATAATGTTTGTCTATCCCTACACCATGCTTATTATCTATACCAATACATGTATAGCGTTACTTGCCGATTTTAGTACAGGTATAATGTTTGTCTATCCCTACACCGTGTTTATTATCTATACCAATACATGTATAGCGTTACTTTCCATTTTTAGTACAGGTAAAATGTTTGTCTATCCCTACACCGTGTTTATTATCTATACCAATACATGTATAGCGTTACTTGCCGATTTTAGTACAGGTAAAATGTTTGTCTATCCCTACACCGTGTTTATTATCTTAAGCAATACATGTATAGCGTTACTTGCCGATTTTAGTACAGGTAAAATGTTTGTCTATCCCAACACGTGTTTATTATCTATACCAATACATGTATAGCGTTACTTGCCGATTTTAGTACAGGTATAATGTTTGTCTATCCCTATACCGTGTTTATTATCTATACCAATACATGTATAGCGTTACTTTCCGATTTTAGTACAGGTATAATGTTTGTCTATCCCTACACCGTGTTTATTATCTATACCTATACATGTATAGCGTTACTTGCCGATTTTAGTACAGGTAAAATGTTTGTCTATCCCAACCGTGTTTATTATCTATACCAATACATGTATAGCGTTACTTGCCGATTTTAGTACAGGTATAATGTTTGTCTATCCCTATACCGTGTTTATTATCTATACCAATACATGTATAGCGTTACTTGCCGATTTTAGTACAGGTATAATGTTTGTCTATCCCTACACCGTGTTTATTATCTATACCAATACATGTATAGCGTTATTGCCGATTTTAGTACAGGTATAATGTTTGTCTATCCCTATACCGTGTTTATTATCTATACCAATACGTGTATAGCGTTTATTGCCGATTTTAGTACAGGTATAATGTTTGTCTATCACTATACCGTGTTTATTATCTATACCAATACGTGTATAGCGTTACTTGCCGATTTTAGTACAGGTATAATGTTTGTCTATCCCTACACCGTGTTTATTATCTATACTAATACATATATAGCGTTACTTTCCGATTTTAGTACAGGTATAATGTTTGTCTATCCCTATACCGTGTTTATTATCTATACCAATACATGTATAGCGTTTATTGCTGATTTTAGTACTGGTATAATGTTTGTCTATCCCTACACCATGCTTATTATCTATACCAATACATGTATAGCGTTACTTGCCGATTTTAGTACAGGTATAATGTTTGTCTATCCCTACACCGTGTTTATTATCTATACCAATACATGTATAGCGTTACTTGCCGATTTTAGTACAGGTATAATGTTTGTCTATCTCTATACCGTGTTTATTATCTATACCAATACATGTATAGCGTTTATTGCCGATTTTAGTACAGGTATAATGTTTGTCTATTCCTATACCGTGTTTATTATCTATACCAAAACATGTATAGCGTTACTTGCCGATTTTAGTACAGGTATAATGTTTGTCTATCCCTATACCGTGTTTATTATCTATACCAATACATGTATAGCGTTACTTGCCGATTTTAGTACAGGTATAATGTTTGTCTATCCCTATACAGTGTTTATTATCTATACCAATACATGTATAGCGTTACTTGACGATTTTAGTACAGGTATAATGTTTGTCTATTCCTATACCGTGTTTATTATCTATACCAATACGTGTATAGCGTTACTTGCTGATTTTAGTACAGGTATAATGTTTGTCTATCACTATACCGTGTTTATTATCTATACCAATACGTGTATAGCGTTACTTGCCGATTTTAGTACAGGTATAATGTTTGTCTATCACTATACCGTGTTTATTATCTATACCAATACGTGTATAGCGTTACTTGCAGATTTAGTACAGGTATAATGTTTGTCTATCCCTACACCGTGTTTATTATCTTAAGCAATACATGTATAGCGTTACTTGCCGATTTTAGTACAGGTAAAATGTTTGTCTATCCCAACACGTGTTTATTATCTATACCAATACATGTATAGCGTTACTTGCCGATTTTAGTACAGGTATAATGTTTGTCTATCCCTATACCGTGTTTATTATCTATACCAATACATGTATAGCGTTACTTTCCGATTTTAGTACAGGTATAATGTTTGTCTATCCCTACACCGTGTTTATTATCTATACCTATACATGTATAGCGTTACTTGCCGATTTTAGTACAGGTAAAATGTTTGTCTATCCCAACACGTGTTTATTATCTATACCAATACATGTATAGCGTTACTTGCCGATTTTAGTACAGGTATAATGTTTGTCTATCCCTATACCGTGTTTATTATCTATACCAATACATGTATAGCGTTACTTTCCGATTTTAGTACAGGTATAATGTTTGTCTATCCCTACACCGTGTTTATTATCTATACCAATACATGTATAGCGTTACTTGCCGATTTTAGTACAGGTATAATGTTTGTCTATCCCTACAACGTGTTTATTATCTATACCAATACATGTATAGCGTTACTTGCTGATTTTAGTACAGGTATAATGTTTGTCTATCCCTACACCGTGTTTATTATCTATACCAATACATGTATAGCGTTACTTGCCGATTTTAGTACAGGTATAATGTTTGTCTATCCCTATACCGTGTTTATTATCTATACCAATACATGTATAGCGTTACTTGCTGATTTTAGTACAGGTATAATGTTTGTCTATCCCTACACCGTGTTTATTATCTATACCAATACATGTATAGCGTTACTTGCCGATTTTAGTACAGGTAAAATGTTTGTCTATCCCTACACCGTGTTTATTATCTATACCAATACATGTATAGCGTTACTTGCCGATTTTAGTACAGGTATAATGTTTGTCTATCCCTACAACGTGTTTATTATCTATACCAATACATGTATAGCGTTACTTGCTGATTTTAGTACAGGTATAATGTTTGTCTATCCCTACACCGTGTTTATTATCTATACCAATACATGTATAGCGTTACTTGCCGATTTTAGTACAGGTATAATGTTTGTCTATCACTATACCGTGTTTATTATCTATACCCAGGGCCGGATTAACATAGGGGCTGATGGAGCTGCAGCTCCAGGCCCAGGCCCATGGAATAGGCCCATTTAAAAAAAAAAAAAATTTTTTTTTTTTTTTTTACACACTACTCTTAGGTTTGCCACCTGACTGTTATTTTAATGGCACAGATGGTATTTTTGAGGCTGCCTGGCTGTGACGGTATTGCAGTAATACCGGCAATACAAATGCAGGTATTTCCTCAGAATAAATGGAAATTACTCTGCAATACCAGCACCGGCCAGTAGGGGTCACTGTGTGTGGAGAGAGGCAGGGATAGGAAGTTACAGAATATCCCTGCCTCTCTCTACTACTCACTGATCCTTGGGGGAGCAGCTACACAGCACAGAGAGTCCAGACAGCAGCTCTACAGCTCAGGTAAGTGATGGATGGGGGAAAGGCAGCAGGGACACTGAGACACTAGGGGACACATGGGGACACTGAGACACTAGGGGACATGTGG